AATGGAGTCAGAGAGGACATGTCGAAACGAAAGTGTTGTAAATGTTGACGAGCGGCATGGGTCCCAATTCGTTTTGTGACCAAAATAGTTTCTTTGAGCTGCGATGCAATTTACTGACCGTGTGACAAAAACGACATCAACACGGACTCATTCCCAAGGCCATGACTTGGCAAAGCTATCCGTGTGACTTCGACGACATTTTGAGAAAAGCAGACGCTTGTGAACGCTGATAGAAGACAGCGTTGACTGCTAAATTCAAATAAATTGGCTATCTTGTAATACTAGAATAAATCTCAAAAAGCTACAGCGCGATGACTTCCATATTCACTCACACCATTGCAGTGTTGTGGGTGTGTTCACATGGCGTGAGCCAGTCAAGTGTCAGTCAGTTCGGCAGGAAGCGCGAGCTCCAACAACAACAACAAGTCGTTTGGTGCAGCCATCTTCTTTGTCTTGTACCAGCTTGATCACCAAAACAATGAAGAAAAAAGTTTGATTTGAGGATAGGTTGGGATTTGAACTCACAACTTCATGGTCAGCAGACAGCATTCATAACCACAAGGCAAAAGAGGAAAGGATAAATCGTGGGTTTTGATAAAAAATCGATACTGGCTTCCTGGGCAAATTGTAAACCATGGGAAAAGGCCGGAAACCTGGCCGAAATTCTAACTCCTTAACGGCTGATCCAATTTTTCCGAAACCTTCACAGAACAATTTGCCGTGTCCTAACAAGCCATTCTATGTACTTTGTTGTCAAAATTTCCCTTATCTTCATACTTTTTAAGACCCAAACCTGATTGTAAATCTTTTTGAAACAGACTATAGTGATGCACGTGCAGGTACTGTAGGTCTACCAGTGATGCTGAAAAAAGAGTGCGCGCTCGACGTACACTTACCTGCATGAGCAGTGACCACACGGCTAAAATGAACGGGCATCCCACGGCTAAAAAAAAAGTTCATTTCAAGATCGAGGTGATTCCGTCGACGGTAATCAACCGACCTCGCAACGATCGTGTATTCTTACTGCGTTGGCGGCGAAGTAGAAATCATCCAGAGCTAGCAGACGACAAGCATAGCAGCTCCTGTCCTGTGGAGAAAGTCAAAGCGGTTGAGATGAGGCGCAACCAACTGATACAACCTTCCTGGAACATTTGCGGAACGATATTTTTTCGTCCTTTGACATGAGCGATGGCGAGGCCTTCGTCTCCGTGTGAAAATCTCAGTCCAACTGTCCTGGAACGTTACTCTAGACTTCAGACTATCATCCTGTGTAATAATTTCTGTATGATTGAGCTTATGGAGTTGTCAGTAACAAGTGACAAGTCACTAGTCAAACTGCGACAATTTCGATGACGCGGAGGAAGTACTACAATCATGTAGGTCTACACATCACATGATACACACGGATCAGACTCGCCGGGTCGTGCTAGGCGACTGCGGAGCAGCAGATACGAGAGAAGTCAGAAGAAAGAGTCCGACTGGACAGAAAAAGTGATTCTCCTATGCTCAGTTGGACATAACTCTCTTTTTGTGTTGAATATTATTGAATTGAGTATGCACAGATCACAGATGTTATTACTACAGGCGATACACTTTGCACTAATCTGGCATATTTTGCTACACAAAATCCATTCTTAGGGCCGATATATTCTACTATGCGATAATACTGCTTGTAAGAATAAATATACACATAAAATAAGTCAAGTGTCAAGTTCGGCAAGAAGCGTGTGCTCCTCGTTGGAGCAACCAACTTCATGACATTACCGCCGAAGTCGCAACTTCTAAAATATGTGTTATAATTATGAAAAAATGAGTGTTTATTCTTGTAGGCAGTATATTCTTGTATACGACACACTATAACCGATACGCACTCTACGCTGAAATTGAAAGGTCAGCACAAATGGTCAAAATCCGACATTTTCTCACCTTTCTGCCCGTTCGCAGCTCAGAAAATGACAATGACCATCCTCATCTCGTTGTGTAGCTGGACATAGAAAATAGCATCATGAAAAAGAGCCACATTTCTCTAAAGAACTCACCCAGGGCTGCTGAAAGCTGAAAAAGAACCTATCTAGAAGTTTGGGGCTTTTTACCCGTGAATCTTCACTTTGCGACTAAACTATTCACAGCAGTGCCAAATTTTTAGGGTCACTGATTGTGGGTGCCAGCGCCCTACAAGCAAACCAAAAATGAAACCAATGCGACCGCTGACATTACAGCTGGGTCATGTTATAGAGAGGTACGTTGAAATTGAAAGGTCAGCACAAATGGCCCAATATCTGAGAAAATCGACCTTCCGGGCTGTTTTGGTGAAATTGATTTTTCTATTGTAAATTGGTGTCTAGCCTTTATAGAGTATTGTGACTTCGTTTCACGGCCATCAGACCAATATTCACCATGTAGAAATGCATTCTACAGTCAGGAGTCATGTTAATGAATTGTTCTTTTTTTACAATTTTGAAAGATCAGTGTGTTTGGAGCCACCAAAAATTGTTTCCACGTGATATCAATAGCCAACTAATAATAGTAAAGTGTTTTGACTGTTCAGGTACTTCATTTCCAACATTCCGTGACTTTATTGAAGTTAGTTGCGTAGTTGCAACAGCAGCAATAGCAGCATTAGAAGGAGAGGTGATTTATCTGTTCTCCTGGTGATGGACGTGCTTGACAGGATAGTCTGCAACAGATTTTGACGGAACACCATGATACATGTAACAGCATTCACATACTTATTGTGAAGGAGTCAAACAGAGCAAATGCGTCCAGATTCGCCTTGTTGCACTTTGTGGAGACTGACCATTTCAAAACATCAGTAACACAGCCTGACAAGCGTTTCACACCACCAACTCAAAAGTAACAGAATATTACTCGAGATTGCCCAGCCTCATGTGCTCCGTGTTGGTCTGATTCGCCATTATTAGCTCGAGTATCGAGCTTGCCATCCAAAACATTTTAGGATCATCGTCGCAAAGAAAACTCGCATCATTTCGTGCTGTTTTAGCAGGTCTGGCGTGACACTCAGGAAACAGTTTTGCCACTCGCGCAAGGGCGCCCAGCGACCTTGCAAGCGGCGTACCCTCATGAATCCACCTGGTTGTCCTTGCCTGGAGCTGTAGCAGCTATTGCTGAGGCAGACTGTGGTTGGCCTTGATGATGATCATACTCATCCAGGCCAAGTCCTCATCATCGTCGCCCCCGACAGGTAAGTACCGCGTGTCACTTGCGATCGATTCGCCTGACATGCGCTCCTACTACTAACTAGAAGCGCTGTCGCCGCTTGACAGGATATCCACAAAGAACGATGCATCACCGTCCATGGGATCACGGCTGCTGTGCTCCGTGAGCCCAATAACCAACTGACACAAGAATCGCCTTCAATTTTCTTCCGCCATTGTCGTCTCTGCACTTTGCTTTGACGGAATCGATTTTTTTGCGAACAAATTTGTTTTTAGTGTTTTCTCAAAAAAAACGCGTAGCCCCGAAGGTCGAAAGTCTCAGATATCGGGCCAAATGGTCAAAATCCGACATTTTCTCACCTTTCTGCCCGTTCGCAGCTCAGAAAATGACAATGACCATCCTCATCTCGTTGGTTAGCTGGATGTAGACAAGAGCATCATGAAAAAAGTCACATTTCTCTAAAGAACTCGCCCAGGGCTGCTGAAAGCTGAAAAAGAACCTATCTAGAAGTTTGGGGCTTTTTACCCGTGAATCTTCACTTTGCGACTAAACTATTCACAGCAGTGCCAAATTTTCTGGGTCACTTAATGCGGGTGCCAGCGCCCTACAAGCAAACCAAAAATGAAACCAATGCGACCACTGAAATTACAGCTGGGTCATGTTATAGAGAGGTACTTTGAAATTGAAAGGTCAGCACAAATGGTCAAAATCCGACATTTTCTCACCTTCCTGCCTGTTCGCAGATCAGGAAATGACAATGACCATCCTCATCTCGTTGTGTAGCTGGACATAGAAAATAGCACCATGGAAAAGACCCACATTTCTCTAAAGAACTCACCCAGGGCTGCTGAAAGCTGATAAAGAACCTATCTAGAAGTTTGGGGCTTTTACCCGTGAATCTTCACTTTGCGACTAAAATATCCACAGCAGTGCCAAATTTTCTGGGTCACTGAATGCGGGTGCCAGCGCCCTACAAGCAAACCAAAAATGAAACCAATGCGACCACTGAAATTACAGCTGGGTCATGTTATAGAGAGGTACGTTGAAATTGAAAGGTCAGCACAAATGGTCAAAATCCGACATTTTCTCACCTTTCTGCCCGTTCGCAGCTCAGAAAATGACAATGACCATCCTCATCTCGTTGTGAAGCTGGACATAGAAAATAGTACCATGAAAAAGAGCTACATTTTTCTAAAGAACTCACCCAGGGCTTCTGAAAGCTGATAAAGAACCTCTCTAGAAGTTTGGGGCTTTTACCCGTGAATCTTCACTTTGCGACTAAACTATTCACAGCAGTGCCAAAATATCTGGGTCAATGAATGCGGGTGCCAGCGCCCTACAAGCAAACCAAAAATGAAACCAATGCGACCACTGAAATTACAGCTGGGTCATGTTATAGAGAGGTACGTTGAAATTGAAAGGTCAGCACAAATGGTCAAAATCCGACATTTTCTCACCTTTCTGCCCGTTCGCAGCTTAGAAAATGACAATGACCATCCTCATCTCGTTGGTTAGCTGGACATAGACAAGAGCACCATGAAAAAGAGTCACATTTCTCTAAAGAACTCACCCAGGGCTGCTGAAAGCTGAAAAAGAACCTATCTAGAAGTTTGGGGCTTTTTACCCGTGAATCTTCACTTTGCGACTAAGCTATTCACAGTAGTGCCAACTTTTTGGGTCACTGAATGCGGTTGCCAGCGCCCTACAAGCAAACCAAAAATGAAACCAATGCGACCACTGAAATTGCAGCTGGATCATGTTATAGAGAGGTACGTTGAAATTTTAAGGTCAGCACAAATGGTCAAAATCCGACATTTTCTCACCTTTGTGCCCGTTCGCAGCTCAGAAAATGACAATGACCATCCTCATCCCGTTGTTTGGCTGGACATAGAAAATAGCACCATGAAAAAAGTCACATTTCTCTAAAGAACTCACCCAGGGCTGCTGAAAGCTGAAAAAGAACCTATCTAGAAGTTTGGAGCTTTTTACCCGTGAATCTTCACTTTGCGACTAAACTATTCACAGCAGTGCCAAATTTTCTGGGTCACTGAATGTGGGTGCCAGCGCCCTACAAGCAAACCAAAAATGAAACCAATGCGACCACTGAAATTACAGCTGGGTCATGTTATAGAGAGGTACGTTGAAATTGAAAGGTCAGCACAAAGGGTCAAAATCCGACATTTTCTCACCTTTCTGCCCGTTCGCAGCTCAGAAAATGACAATGACCATCCTCATCTCGTTGTGAAGCTGGACATAGAAAATAGCACCATGAAAAAGAGCTACATTTTTCTAAAGAACTCACCCAGGGCTTCTGAAAGCTGATAAAGAACCTATCTAGAAGTTTGGGGCTTTTACCCGTGAATCTTCACTTTGCGACTAAACTATTCACAGCAGTGCCAAAATATCTGGGTCAATGAATGCGGGTGCCAGCACCCTACAAGCAAACCAAAAATGAAACCAATGCGACCACTGAAATTACAGCTGGGTCATGTTATAGAGAGGTACGTTGAAATTGAAAGGTCAGCACAAATGGTCAAAATCCGACATTTTCTCACCTTTCTGCCCGTTCGCAGCTTAGAAAATGACAATGACCATCCTCATCTCGTTGTGTGGCTGGACATAGAAAATAGAACCATGAAAAAGAGCCACATTTCTCTAAAGAACTCACCCAGGGCTGCTGAAAGCTGAAAAAGAACTTATCTAGAAGTTTGGGGCTTTTTACCCGTGAATCTTCACTTTTCGACTAAATTTTTCACAGCAGTGCCAAATTTTCTGGGTCACTCAATGCGGGTGCCAGCACCCTACAAGCAAACCAAAAATTAAACCAATGCGACCACTGAAATTACAGCTGGGTCATGTTATAGAGAGGTACGTTGAAATTGAAAGGTCAGCACAAATGGTCAAAATCCGACATTTTCTCACCTTTCTGCCCGTTCGCAGCTTAGACAATGACAATGACCATCCTCATCTCGTTGGTTAGCTGGACATAGACAAGAGCACCATGAAAAAGAGTCACATTTCTCTAAAGAACTCCCCCAGGGCTGCTGAAAGCTGAAAAAGAACCTATCTAGAAGTTTGGGGCTTTTTACCCGTGAATCTTCACTTTGCGACTAAACTATTCACAGCACTGCCAAATTTTCTAGGTCACTGAATGCGGGTGCCAGCGCCCTACAAGCAAACCAAAAATGAAACCAATGCGACCACTGAAATTCCAGCTGGGTCATGTTATAGAGAGGTACGTTGAAATTGAAAGGTCAGCACAAATGGTCAAAATCCGACATTTTCCCGCCTTTCTCCCCGTTCGCAGCTCAGAAAATGACAATGACCATCCTCATCTCGTTGTGTGGCTGGACATACAAAATAGCATCATGAAAAAGAGCCAGATTTCTCTAAAGAACTCACCCAGGGCTGCTGAAAGCATATAAAGAACCTATCTAGAAGTTTGGGGCTTTTTACCCGTGAATCTTCACTTTGCGACTTAACTATTCACAGCAGTGCCAAAATTTCTGGGTCACTGAATGCGGGTGCCAGCGCCCTACAGGCAAACCAAAAATGAAACCAATGCGATCACTGAAATTACAGCTGGGTCATGTTATAGAGAGGTACGTTGAAATTGAAAGGTCAGCACAAATGGTCAAAATCCGACATTTTTTCACCTTTCTGCCCGTTCGCAGCTCAGAAAATGACAATGACCATCCTCATCTCGTTGTGTGGCTGGACATGGAAAATAGCACCCTGAAAAAGAGCCATATTTCTCTAAATAACTCACCCAGGGCTGCTGAAAGCTGAAAAAGAACCTATCTAGAAGTTTGGGGCTTTTTACCCGTAAATCTTCACTTTGCGACTAAACGATTCACAGCAGTGCCAAATTTTCTGGGTCACTGAATGCGGGTGCCAGCGCCCTACAAGCAAACCAAAAATGAAACCAATGCGACCACTGAAATTACAGCTGGGTCATGTTATAGAGAGGTACGTTGAAATTGAAAGGTCAGCACAAATGGTCAAAATCCGAAATTTTCTCGCCTTCCTGCCCGTTCGGAGCTCAGAAAATGACAATGACCATCCTCATCTCGTTGTGTGGCTGGACATGGAAACTAGCACCATGAAAAAGAGCCATATTTCTTTAAAGAACTCACCCAGGGCTGCTGAAAGCTGAAAAAGAACCTATCTAGGAGTTTGGGGCTATTTACCCGTGAATCTTCACTTTGCGACTTAACTACTCACACAGCAGTGCCAAATTTTCTGGGTCACTGAATGCGGGTGCCAGCGCCCTACAAGCAAACTAAAAATCAAATCAATGCGACCACTGACATTACAGCTGGGTCATGTTATAGAGAGCTACGTTGAAATTGAAAGGTCAGCACAAATGGACAAAATCCGACATTTTCTTACCTTTCTGCCCGTTCTCACCTCAGAAAATGACAATGACCATCCTCATCTCGCTGTTTACCTGGACATAGAAAATAGCACCATGAAAAAGAGCCACATTTCTCTAAAGAACTCACCCAGGGCTGCTGAAAGCGGAAAAAGAACCTATCTAGAAGTTTGGGGGTTTGCTTGTAGGGCGCTGGCACCCGCCTTCATTGACCTAGAAAATTTGGCACTGCTGTGAATAGTTTAGTCGCAAAGTGAAGATTCACGGGTAAAAAGCCCCAAACTTCTAGATAGGTTCTTTTTCAGCTTTCAGCAGCCCTGGGCGAGTTCTTTAGAGAAATGTGACCCTTATTCATGGTGCTCTTGTCTATGTCCAGCTAACCAACGAGATGAGGATGGTCATTGTCATTTTCTAAGCTGCGAACGGGCAGAAAGGTGAGAAAATGTCGGATTCTGACCATTTGTGCTGACCTTTCAATTTCAATGTACCTCTCTATAACATGACCCAGCTGTAATGTCAGTGGTCGCATTGATTTGATTTTTGGTTTGCTTTTAGGGCGCTGGCACCCGCATTCATTGACTTAGAAAAATTTGCACCGCTGTGAATCGTTTAGTCGCAAAGTGAAGATTCACGGGTAAAAAGCCCCAAACTTCTAGATAGGTTCTTTTTCAGCTTTCAGCAGCCCTGGGTGAGTTCTTTGGAGAAATGTGGCTCTTTTTCATGGTGCTATTTTCTATGTCCAGCTACACAACGAGATGAGGATGGTCATTGTCATTTTCTGAGCTGCGAACGGGCAGAAAGGTGAGAAAATGTCGGATTTTGAGCATTTGTGCTGACCTTTCAAATTCAACGTACCTCTCTATAACATGACCCAGCTGTAATTTCAGTGGTTGCATTGGTTTCATTTTTGGTTTGCTTGTAGGGCGCTGGCACCCGCATTCAGTGACCCAGAAAATTTGGCACTGCTGTGGATAGTTTAGTCGCAAAGTGAAGATTCACAGGTATAAAGCCCCAAACTTCTAGATAGGTTCTTTTTCAACACATTAATACTCAGCACAGATTAAATGGCTTTCGCATGATCTCTCACAAGGTGCGGAGTTCCACGGCCCCTACTGTTTCTGATGATCGCTTACCTTAAAACTCGGAGTAAAAACACTTTTTCGTCCTCTCATTATTGTTAGAGTGTAAACGTAGTTAGAGATCATTCCCAGTGCTTAACGTGCTGGGATGGTACACTGACACTGAACCAAACCTAAATCATGCATTTTGAAGTGGTGTGAGCCAGGAAAATTCATGCTGACATGTAGCAGTGGTGCTGATGGCGACAGCAGTAGCGGTTTGATGTAAGGTCACTGACCTTGGGCTGTCCTTGCTGTCTCGTCTGGGAATCCTTAGCCACCTGAGAACACACGAGAGAATGAATAAGGCGGCGTATGGTGCCAGAGTCAACCAGGTGGAGAGAGCATCATTCACCCCACTGGTGTTTTCGACCTCGGGTGTGGCGGGCAAGGAAGTCACTATATTTCTGAAGTTGCTAGCTGCTTTGGTTGTAGACAAAAAAACAAAGACTTGGTATATTCTGCCGTGAAGGCCCGTGATGGGTGAATTACGCACCCGGGTTTCGTTTTGCCTGCTGCGATCGGCAGTCACGTGCTTTAGGGGTGCAGGGCCTCTTACATTCGCCGCAAGTTCGGGAGCCCCTTTGCAGCATATTGCCGCCGGCCGACTTCCCCTTTGCATGCCGGTAGGCAATCTTATTAGATAACGATTTCTTGTGAAGCTTTTGTGTTCAATCTTACATTTCAAATGAGTGTTCTATTTATTTCCGAATTTGGGTTGTCTTTTTGCTTTGACTCTAAGGGATGAATTTAATGTCAGGTTTTTGCATAGCAGTTTTTGCTATGCAAAATCTCAATTGTGGCGTAAGCTACAAAAAGGCATGGATAGCCTGTATGTGTATGTATGGCAGTTTTCTGTGTGTCACTGTGATTTTGAGTAGCAGTAGATCGATTTGGCGTAGCAAACTGCGATGCGATACCGGATAAATTCATCCCTGACTCTTACTTCATGGTTTCACGAGATTGGCCCAATTGGTGTTGTGAATAAACCCATTCTCAAGCAGCAGCTGTGTTGGTGGCTACAGCAGCAGCAGATGCAGTGCTGGTTGGGACAGCAGCAGTAGCAGGGGTGCTGATGAGGACAGTAGCAGAAGGGGAGGTGTGGGTGGCGAAAGCAGCGGCAACAGCAGTGGTAGTGCTGTAGGCGACAGCAGCAGCAGCAGCAGCAGTAGCAGCAGCGGTTCTGGTGGCGACAGCAGCAAAAGCGGCGGCTGTGGTGGTGACAACAGCAGCAATAGAGGCGTTGCTGGAGGCGACAGCCGTAGCAGCCGTGATTTGGTGGTGACAGCAGCAACAGCAGCAGCGGTAGCGGCAGTGTGGGGCGACAGCAATAGCGGCAGCGGTGCTGGTGGTGACAACAGCAGCAGTAGAGGCGTTGCTGGTGGCGACAGCCACAGCAGCAATGGTGATTCGGTGGTGACAGCAGCAGTAGCGGTGGTGCTGGTGGTGACAACAGCAGCAGTAGAGGCGTTGCTGGTGGCGACAGCCACAGCAGCAGCGGTGATTTGGTGGTGACAGCACCAGCAGCAGTAGCGGTGGTGTGGGTTGTCAGCAGCAGCAGCAGCAGTTCTGCTGGTGGTGACAGCATCAACAGTAGCGGCGGTGCTGGTACCAACAGCTAGCTTGACCTTGATTTTTATTCAGTGATAAATTTAGCAGCATTCATGTCCAGGTAACCATGGTAACTAGTTGTGTATTTGTACAGCTATTTTTCAACCTCACCTTTCTTCCAAGTCCATGTCTCAATAAATCCGTGAACGCGCTAGAAACCTATCCTCTTCCACAGATGTAGCATTTGAAATTGAAGGTAGAAATAGCGAACTGCTGCATTCCTTCATAAGTACGTTACTTACGGACTAGGCACCACGCTTGCCAATAACCGGCCTGTTCTGACCACTATGTTCTGGTCACGTAGAGGCAAATACTAGTAGTAAGATTGTGAAAATAAATTCTAGCTTGCTTCACCACAAATAAATTTTAGCTTGCTTCGCCACAAATAAATTTTACCTTGCTTCGCCACAAATAAATTTTTAGCTTGCTTCGACGAGGAAACGCTTGCAGTGTAGATACTCAGGATGACATAGTCTGGTCGAAAGCAGGAAGCAGCAGCACGACGACAAGCCTCTGGCTCTACTCCTACCGCTATACTACTGATGCTTGAGTCTTTACCTCTTTAGTTTTTACTTCTCAGCTTTGCTGCTAGCTCGGCGTAGCTGTGCTCGCTGTGCAGATCTGTGTGACTGACTGTCTGTCCGCAGAGCTACAACAAAGCTGTATGTAGTGGGCATGATTACAGTTGGCCCTATGCCAGGCTATGGCCCATGTACTGTTAGGCGGCAGTGCAGTGCGCAGATCTACGCTTCCGCATGTCCCGCTCGTGCAGCTCAGTGCAGCTGCGAGCTCACTGCCCACTGGTCACCGCCGCGACCTGGTGACTGGAGTCGTTAGTGACCGAAGCATGCATCTACTCTCACGCACGCACTCTCCGCTAGCGCTACGCCTATGCATCGCATGTGCTTGGGCAAGTAAGTAGTAAAGTAGTTGGGGAGCTTGGTTGTTTCAGGCTTCGATTGAGTCACACTGCACTGTCTGTAACACGGTAACCATGACTTTGAGTTTTGACTTCCGCTCCTGGAAGCGAAGGCCAGATCCCAGCCAGGGTTTTCATAACCCTGGCTGGGATCTGGCCTTCGCTTCCAGGAGCGGAAGTCAAAACTCAAAACCTGCATAACTTATGCAGGGCCAGACCCAGCCCATGCAGGGCCAGACCCAGGCTAGCGATTCATGCCCACATGTAGTAATGTTGTAGATCTACTTGTACTAAGTTAGTAGTTGTAGATCTACCATGTGTACTGCCGTGCTAGGCAGTCTGGCCATGGCCCAACAACACAATCATCATGGTCATGTCGACAGTCTTTGCACGCGTAGACCACTGACGCACTGTCTGTATAGACCTACGCGTCGCGCACACGTCTGTGGTAGCGTATACCGTGTGTATACTGACTAGTGACCATGGTGACAGTACTAGTGTAGACCTACTGACACTACTGACTCAGTGACTGTCAACAGAGTCAGTCTGTGTAGTGATGGCTACATAGACTAGTCATAATTATACGAATACTAGACTATACTAGTACTACTACTAGTCTATACTATTACTATAGTCTATACTATTACTATAGTCTATACTATTCTGTCCCCGGGGAAAATTGCGGAAAAAAATCGCAAAAAAACGCGGGGAAAAACGCGGCATAATATGGCATAATTTGCGGTGAATTTGCGGTAAATATGCGGTAAATATGCGGTGAATGCGGCAATTTTCAGTGAGTATGTAGTGAAATCAATCAGTTACAAGTCTCTGGTGTATAAAGCACCCATTATTTGAGTAAAAAGCCGCCACGATGAGACGTTGCTGACCGAAAAGTGCACTGTGTGTACGTGTAGTGCAACAAAAAGTTCAAAAAAACGCGGGAAAATCGCGGAAAACGCGGTCTTTTAAAAAATCGCAAAAAACGCGGAAAAAAACGCGGCCGCGGAATCGCAATTTTCCCCGGGGACAGACTATTACTATAGTCTATACTATTACTATAGTCTATACTATTACTATAGTCTATACTATTACTAGTCATAGTACAAGTCATGTAGGTGTCACCATGGTCACACAGAATGTGCCCGCTAAGTGCACCTAGCTGGGCCGGGGCACACAGAGTGTAGAATGTAGCGTAGATCTGGTAGACACTAGTAGTTATACTCGTAGATCTACTCGTAGCCGTGGTCTACCAAGTAGGTCTACCATGGTCTACTGCCTGCTACTGTGCTAATGCTAAGTGCTACTGTGCTAGTGAGTGCGTTCGATTACACACTTGAATCGATTCATGAATCCATTCGCATGCATTCAAGTCGTTCGATTTCATGTCAGGAGCCCTGGAATCGATTCGGAATCCATTCACTCTATTCACATGGGGTGATGTGAATAGCGCGAATCGATTCATGAATCGATTCGTGAATCGATTCGCGTGCATAATCGAACGCACTCACTGCTAAGTGCTACTGCTAGTGCTGACAAAACAACTGCATTTCAGGTCAGTGAAACCATAGTAACCATGCAAGCGGAGCACGGAATTTCGGAAATACTCGGAAGTGATCTCATCTGATCTGAGTGCGTACAGGTCAAGTAAGTTCCGGACCCAGTGTAAGAGTTACACCCAGTTCCAACCGGTTTCATCCAGTTCCAACCACTTTCATCAGGTTCTAACCAGTTTCACCCAGTTCCAACTACATATCCCATAGCCTAGGTAACCATGCAGCTACGACCGGTCCTTGCACGTTTGCACTGGTTTCAACGGGTTTTCGCGCCGGAACGAAAATAATGGCACAACACCGACTCAGCACGCATGCGCCTCATAATGGTTGAGAACTGCATCTCCGTCTGTGCAGCTGTCCTAGGCTAGCGCCTGCATTTGCATCAAATAAACTACCATTTTTTTGTTTGTGAAAAAGGGAGAGCCTGCTTCCATGCGACAGCTAGCTGCCGCTTGAATGGACCGTAGAATTATTTGATTAGTTTACCAATAACGACGCTGGGACTGTCGAAACAAATCGTTCACGGAAAAAGGACCCCACTAGTACTTGAACAAATTCGGAAGAGAAAGATGAAGTGAACACATCAACCGATAGCGAAATGTCGAGCGCAAAAAGGTAAGTAAGTTGCCTTTATTGGAAATGGTGGAAATCTGTGTTCCCGCATTGTAGATGTCCTTTTCTTAGTACCTTGTGAACGGTAGGGCCAGCCTAGTAACTACAAACCCAGTAATTCGGTGTGTTAGTTGCTCAGTGCTGAAGTGTGCGAGTCTGATATGCTTGATAATGTGGGGCAGCCAAATGCTTCCAGGCCAGTTTATTTGCCATATGTTTTGCTTCGAAGTCAGTCGACGAGTCAGTCTTGCATTCAACCTCACTCCTTCAGGGAAAGTGTGGGGCTCTGATATGCTTGATAATGCGGGGCAGCCAAGTGACTCCATGCCCGGTGATTCGGGATGCATGTTGCTTGGCAGTGAACGAGTCGATGAGTCAGTCATGCATTCAACCTCACTCCTTCAAGGGAAGTGTGGGGCTCTGATATGCTTGATAATGTGGGGTAGCCTTGTCACCCATTACCTGGTGATTCGGGATGTGTGTTGCTTGGCAGTGTGCGATGACTCCTTCTTGCGTTCAACCCCACTCCTTCAAGGGAAGTTTTTTTTATTTTTTTTATTTTTTTATTTTTTTTACTATTATTCACAAACCCAACTCGTAAAATAAATAATTATGTGGACAAAAACAAACAGCTACTGAGCAGGGGCTGCACTGGGCAGCAGTGATGGTGAGGTACCAGGGGCTCCACCGACCAAAGGTCTCGGCTTCAATGCCACAAGCACGCACCAGGAAAAAGAAACAGAAATGTAAAGCAAAGCTAGATCTAGCTATGGGGAAGTAGAATGGGTAAAAGTACCGGTAGGTGTTTAGAAAAATAAAAACAAGATGAAAAGAGATTGTTTATTATCAGTGTTTGGACTGATGTACAATGTACATGTCAACTTCATCAACCAAAACTTATGAACTTTTTTAATAGATCTGAAACGAAACTCCCACAAAGAAGTGTAAAGAAAACAAGCTAAAAAACAGAAAAATAATCAGGCACCCATTTTGATAATCCAGGGGATGGCCCACGCCTGGTAAAAGAATAAACAGAGAAAAGAAAAGAATCATAACAAGTTTTTCCATGTATGCAAAACACAGCTGAGCACTCTGAGCAAGGCCAGGTACGCGGATTAGCGGGTCCGGCAAGCGACGAGCTCGAAAAATTACAGGGAATCTGTTGCCCAGTACCAGTTGCTGTCTCTCAGGTGTCGGTAGACCTTTGTCTTGAATGACTGAAAACGTGTTTTGTGTGGGCACTGCGACAGCAGCCTGTCAGGAAGGGAGTTCCATGCGCCAATACAGCAGTACGGGAACGACCGCTTCACGACGGATGGAGCTGAGACAGGGAGCGTGTCTGACAGTTGATAGGCGTGGCTGGTGGCATTATTGTGCTGGTTCCTGGTTCTGGGGTTCATTGGAGAAACGCGAAGTGTGGGGCTCTGATATGCTTGATAATGCGGGGCAGCCAAGTGACTCCATGCCCTTTGATTCGGGATGTGTGTTGCTTGGCAGTGAACGAGTCGATGAGTCAGTCTTGCATTCAACCTCACTCCTTCAAGGGAAGTGTGGGCCTCAGATATGCTTGATAATGCGGAGCAGCCAAGTGACTCCATGCCCTGTGATTCGGGATGTGTGTTGCTTGGCAGTGAACGAGTCGATGAGACAGTCTTGCATACAACCTCACTCCTTGAAGGGAAGTGTGGGGCTCTGATATGCTTGATAATGTGGGGAAGCCTTGTCACCCCATTCCTCGTGATTCGGGATGTGTGTTGCTTGGCAGCGTACGATTACTCCTTCTTGCGTTCAACCCCACTCCTTCAAGGGAAGTGTGAGGCTCTGATATGCTTGATAATGCGGGGCAGCCAAGTGACTTCATGCCCGGAGATTCGGGTTGTGTGTTACTTGGCATTGAACGAGTGGATGAGTCAGTCTTGTATTCAACCTCCCTCCTTCAAGGGAAGTGTGGGGCTCTGATATGCTTGATAATGTGGGGAAGCCTTGTCACTCCATACCTGGTGATTCGGGATGTGTGTTTCTTGGCAGTGAAGGAGTCGATGAGTCCTTCTTGCGTTCAACCTCACTCCTTCAAGGGAAGTGTGGGGCTCCGATATGCTTGATAATGCGGGGCAGCCAAGTGAGTCCATGCCCAGTGATTCGGGATATGGGTTGCTTGGAAGTGAAGGAGTCGATGATTCATTCTTCCTTTCAACCTCACTCCTTCAAGGGAAGTGTGGGGCTCTGATATTCTTGATAATGCGGGGCAGCAAAGTCACTCCATGCCCGGTGATGCGGGATGTGTGTTGCTTGGCAATGAACAATGAGTCCTTCTTGCGTTCAACCTCACTCATTTAAGGGAACAGTGGGGCTCTGATATGCTTGATAAAGTGGGGAAGCCTTGTCACTCCATACCTGGTGATTCGGGATGTGTGTTGTTCGGCAGTGAACGATGAGTCATTCTAGCGTTCAACCTTAATCCTTCAATGGAAGTGTTGGGCTCTGATATGCTTGATAATGCGGTAGCCAAGTGACTCCATGCCCGGTAATTCGGGATGTGCGTTGCTTGGCCGTGAGTGAGTCGAAGAGTCAGTCTTGCATTCAACCCCACTCCTTCAAGGGAAGTGTGGGGCTCTGATATGCTTGATAATGTGGGAAAGCCTTGTCACTCCGTACCTGGTGATTCGGGATGTGTGTTGCTTGGCAGTGAACGAGTCGATGAGTCAGTCTTGCATTCAACCTCACTCCTTCAAGGGAAGTGTGGGCCTCTGATATGCTTGATAATGCGAGGCAGCCAAGTGACTCCATGCCCGGCAATTCGGGATGTGCGTTGCTTGGCCGTGAACGAGTCGAAGAGTCAGTCTTGCAGTCAACCTCACTCCTTCAAGGGAAGTGTGGGGCTCTGATATGCTTGATAATGCGGGGCAGCCAAGTGACTCCATGCCCTTTGATTCGGGATGTGTGTTGCTTGGCAGTGAACGAGTCGATGATTCAGTCTTGCATTCAACCTCACTCCTTCAAGGGAAGTGTGGGGCTCTGATATGCTTGATAATGTGGGGTAGCCTTGTCACCCATAACCTGGTGATTCGGGATGTGTGTTGCTTGGCAGTGTACGATGACTCCTTGCGTTCAACCCCACTCCTTCAAGGGAAGTGCGGGGCTCTGATATGCTTGATAATGCGGAGTAGCCAAGTGACACCATGCCTGGTGATTCGGGATGTGTGTAGCTTGGCAGTGAACGAGTTGATGAGTCAGTCTTGCATTCAACCTCACTCCTTCAAGGGAAATGTGGGGCTCTGATATGCTTGATGATGTTGTGAAGCCTTGTCACCCCATTCCTCGTGATTCGGGATGTGTGTTGCTTGGCAGTGTACGATGAATCCTTCAGGGGAAGTCTGGGGATCTGATATGCTTGATAATGCGGGGCAGCGAAGTAACCCCATGCCCAGTGATTCGGGTTGTGTGTTGCTTGGCATTGAAGAAGTCGATGAGTCAGTCTTGCACTCCACCTCACTCCTTCAAGGGAAGTGTGGGGCTCTGATATGCTTGATAATGCGGGGCAGCCAAGTGACTCCATGCCCTTTGATTCGGGATGTGTGTTGCTTGGCAGTGAACGAGTCGATGAGTCAGTCTTGCATTCAACATCACTCCTTCAAGGGAAGTGTGGGGCTCAGATCTGCTTGATAATGTGGGGTAGCCTTGTCACCCATCACCTGGTGATTCGGGATGTGTGTTGCTTGGCAGTGTACGATGACTCCTTGCGTTCAACCCCACTCCTTCAAGGGAAGTGTGGGGCTCTGATATGCTTGATAATGCGGAGCAGCCAAGTGACTCCATGCCCGGTGCTTTGGGATGTGTGTTGCTTGGCAGTGAACGAGTCGATGAGTCAGTCTTGCATTCAACCTCACTCCTTCAAGGGAAGTGTGGGGCTCTGATATGCTTGATAATGCGAGGCAGCCAAGTGACTCCATGCCCGGCAATTCGGGATGTGTGTTGCTTGGCTGTGAACGAGTCGAAGAGTCAGTCTTGCATTCAACCTCACTCCTTCAAGGGAAGTGTGGGGCTCTGATATGCTTGATAATGCGGGGCAGCCAAGTGACTCCATGACCGGTGATTCGGGATGTGTGTTGCTTGGCAGTGAACGAGTCGATGATATAGTCTTGCATTCAACCTCACTCCTTCAAGGGAAGTGTGGGGCTCTGATATGCTTGATAATGTGGGGTAGCCTTGTCACCCATCACCTGGTGATTCGGGATGTGTGTTGCTGGGCAGTGTACGATGACTCCTTGCGTTCAACCCCACTCCTTCAAGGGAAGTGTGGGGCTCTGATATGCTTGACAATGCGAGGCAGCCAAGTGACTCCATGCCCGGTGATTCGGGATGTGTGTTGCTTGGCATTGAACGAGTCGATGAGTCAGTCATGCATTCAACCTCACTTCTTCAAGGGAAGTGTGGGGCCTGATATGCTTGACAAAGTGGAGAAGCCTTGTAACTCCATACCTGGTGATTCGGGATGTGTGTTGCTTGGCAGTGAACGAGTTGATGAGTCAGTCTTGCATTCAACCTCACTCCTTCTTCAAGGGAAGTGTGGGGCTCTGATATGCTTGATAATGTGGGGTAGCCTTGTCACCCATTACCTGGAGATTCGGGATGTGTGTTGCTTGGCAGTGTACGATGACTCCTTCTTGCGTTCAACCCCACTCCTTCAAGGGAAGTGTGGGGCTCTGATACGCTTGATAATGTGGGTCAGCCAAGTGAATCCATGCCCGGTGATTCGGGGTGTGTGTTGCTTGGCAGTGAACGAGTCGATGAGTCAGTCTTGCATTCGACCTCACTCCTTCAAGGGAAGTGTGGGGCTCTGATATGCTTGATAATGTGGGGCAGTCAAGTGACTCCATACCTGGTGATTCGGGATGTGTGTTGCTTGGCAGTGTACGATGACTCCTTCTTGCGTTCATCCCCACTCCAACAAGGGAAGTGTGGGGCTCTGATATTCTTTATAATGCGAGGCAGCCAAGTGACTCCATGCCCTGCAATTCGAGATGTGCGTTGCTTGGCCGTGAACGAGTCGAAGAGTCAGTCTTGCATTCAACCTCACTCCTTCAAGGGAAGTGTGGGGCTCTGATATGCTTGATAATGCGCGGCAGCCAAGTGACTCCATGCCCTTTGATTCGGGATGTGTGTTGCTTGGCAGTGAACGAGTCGATGATTCAGTCTTGCATTCAACCTCACTCCTTCAAGGGAAGTGTGGGGCTCTGATATGCTTTATAATGTGGGGTGGCCTTGTCACCCATAACCTAGTGATTCGGGATGTGTGTTGCTTGGCAGTGTACGATGACTCCTTGCGTTCAACCCCACTCCTTCAAGGGAAGTGTGGGGCTCTGATATGCTTGATAATGCGGAGTAGCCAAGTGACACGATGCCTGGTGATTCGGGATGTGTGTAGCTTGGCAGTGAACGAGTCGATGAGTCAGTCTTGCATTCAACCTCACTCCTTCAAGGGAAATGTGGGGCTCTGATATGCTTGATAATGTGGGGAAGCCTTGTCACCCCATTCCTCGTGATTCGGGATGTGTGTTGCTTGGCAGTGTACGATGAATCCTTCTTGCGTTCAACCCCATTCGTTCAAGGTAAGTGTGGGGCTCTGATATGCTTGATAATGCGAGGCAGCCAAGTGACTCCATGCCCGGTGATTCGGGTTGTGTGTTGCTCGGCATTGAACGAGTCGATGAGTCAGTCATGCATTCAACCTCACTCCTTCAAGGCAAATGTGGGGCTCTGATATCTGATATGCTTGATAATGTGGGGTAGCCTTGTCACCCATTACCTGGTGATTCGGGATGTGTGTTGCTTGGCAGTGTACGATGACTCCTTCTTGCGTGCAACCTCACTCCTTCAAGGGAAGTGTGGGGCTCTGATATGCTTGCTAATGTGGGGAAGCCTTGTCACCCCATTCCTCGTGATTCGGGATGTGTGGTGCTTGGCAGTGTACGATGACTCCTTCTTGCGTTCAACCCCACTCCTTCAAGGGAAGTGTGGGGCTCTGATATGCTTGATAATGCGAGGCAGCCAAGTGACTCCATGCCCGGTGATCCGGGTTGTGTGTTGCTTGGTGTTGAACGAGTCCACGAGTCAGTCATGCATTCAACCTCACTCCTTCAAGGGAAGTGTGGGGCCGTATATGCTTGACAAAGTGGGGAAGCCTTGTAAGTCCATACCTGGTGATTCGGGATGTGTGTTGCTTGGCAGTGAACGAGTTGATGAGTCAGTCTTGCATTCAACCTCACTCCTTCAAGGGAAGTGTGGGACTCTGATATGCTTGATAATGTGGGGTAGCCTTGTCACCCATTACCTGGTGATTCGGGATGTGTGTTGCTTGGCAGTGTACGATGACTCCTTCTTGCGTTCAACCCCACTCCTTCAAGGGAAGTGTGGGGCTCTGATATGCTTGATAATGCGGGGCAGCCAAGTGACTCCATACCTGGTGATTAGGGATGTGTGTTGCTTTGCAGTGTACGATGACTCCTTGCGTTCAACCCCACTCCTTCAAGGGAAGTGTGGGGCTCTGATATGCTTGATAATGTAGGGCAGTCAAGTGACTCCATACCTGGTGATTCGGGATGTGTGTTGCCTGGCAGTGTACGATGACTCCTTCTTGCGTTCAACCCCACTCCTTCAAGGGAAGTGTGGGGCTCTGATATGCTTGATAATGCGAGGCAGCCAAGTGACTCCATGCCCGGCAATTCGGGATGTGCGTTGCTTGGCCGTGAACGAGTCGAACAGTCAGTCTTGCAGTCAACCTCACTCCTTCAAGGGAAGTGTGGGGCTCTGATATGCTTGATAATGCGGGGCAGCCAAGTGACTCCATGCCCTTTGATTCGGGATGCGTGTTGCTTGGCAGTGAACGAGGCGATGATATAGTCTTGCATTCAACCTCACTCCTTCAAGGGAAGTGTGGGGCTCTGATATGCTTGATAATGTGGGGTAGCCTTGTCACCCATAACCTGGTGATTCGGGATGTGTGTTGCTGGGCAGTGTACGATGACTCCTTGCATTCAACCCCACTCCTTCAAGGGAAGTGTGGGGCTCTGATATGCTTGATAATGCAGAGCAGCCAAGTGACTCCGTGCCTGGTGATTCGGGATGTGTGTAGCTTGGCAGTGAATGAGTCGATGAGTCAGTCTTGCATTCAACTTCACTCGTTCAAGGGAAGTGTGGGGCCTTGATATGCTTGACAATGCGGGGATGCCTTGTCACTCCTTACCTAGTCATTCGGGATGTGTGTTGCTTGGCAGTGAAGGGGTCGATGAGTCCTTCTTGCGTTCAACCTCACTCCTTCAAGGGAAGTGTGGGGCCCTGATGTGTTTGACAATGTGGGGCAGCCTTGTAACTCCATACCTGGTGATTTGGATGTGTGTTGTGAACGATGAGTCATTCTTACGTTCAACCTCACTCCTTCAATGAAAGGGTGGGGCTTCTATATGCATGATAATGCGAGGAAGCCAAATGACTCCATGCCCGGTGATTCAGGATGTGTGTTGCTTGGCAGTGAACGTGTCGAGGAGCCAAACTTACACTCAACCTCATGCCTTCAAGGGAAGTGTGGGGCCCTGATATGCTTGACAAAGTGGGGAAGCCTTGTAACTCCATACCTGGTAATTCGGGATGTGTGTTGTTTGGCAGTGAACGTTGTGTCATTCTTGCATTCAACCCCACTCCTTCAAGGGAAATGTGGGGCTCTGATATGCTTGATCATGCTGGGCAGCCAAGGGACTCCATGACCGGTGATTCGGGTTGTGTGTTGCTTGGCATTGAACGATTCGATGAGTCAGTCCTGCATTAAACCTCACTCCTTCAAGGGAAGTGTGGGGCCCTGATATGCTTGACAATCCGGGAAAGCCTTGTAACTCCATACCTCGTGATTCGGGACGTGTGTTGTCTGGCAGTGAACGTTGTGTCATTCCAGCGTTCAACCTCACTCCTTCAAGGGAAGTATGGGGCTCTGATATGCATGATAATGTGGGGCAGCTAAATGACTCCATGCATGGTAATTCGGGATGTGCGTTGCTAGGCAGTAAACGAGTCGAAGAGTCAGTTTTGCATTCAACCTCACTCCTTCAAGGGAAGTGTGGGGCTCTGATATGCTTGATATTGTGGGGATGCCTTGAAACTTGTAACTTGTAACTCCATACCTGGTGATTTCGGATGTACGTTGCCTGTCAGTGACCGATGAGTCACTAAACAACCTCAATCCTTCATGGGAAGTGTTGGGCTCTGATATGCTTGATAATGCGGGGCAGCCAAGTGACTTCATGCCCGGCAATTCGGGATGTGCGTTGCTTGGCAGTGAACGAGTCAAAGAGTCAGTCTTGCATTCAACCTCACTCCTTCAAGGGAAGTGTGGGGCTCTGATATGCTTGATAATGTGGGGCAGCCAAGTGACTCCATGACCGGTGATTCGGGTTGTGTGTTGCTTGGCAGTGAACGAGTCTATGAGTCGGTCTTACATCAAATATCTGGCGACACTTTGTCTAAATAGGCAAACCACTTAGGGTCCAGCAATTCGATTGTGGAGTCTGATCCTCTGTCTGCCTGTCTCTCCCTCTCTCATTGTCTCTCTCTCTTTCCCTGTCTCTCCCTTTCTGTCTCTCTTTGTCTGTCTGTCTCTCTCTCTCCCCTCTCTCTCTGTCTCTCTCACTCTCTCTCACTTTCTCTGTCTTTCTCTCTCTCTCTCTCTCTCTCTCTCTCTCTCTCTATCTATCTATCTATCTGTCTATCTATCTATCTCTTCTACGACGTCATCGAGGTCTGCTGCGGCGTCATGAAGGTCTCCTACAGCATCATCTTGATCTGCTGCATCATCATCGAGGTCTGCTACAGCGTCATGGAGGTCGGCTACAGCGTCATGGAGGTCTGCTAAAGCGTCATGGAGTCCTGCTACAGCGTCAAGGAGATCTGCTACAGCGTCATGGGGGTCTGCTACAGCGTCATGGAGGTCTGCTACAGCGTCATCCAGGTCTGCTACAGCGTCATCGAGGTCTGCTACAGCGTCATCAAGGTCTGCTACAGCATCATCCAGGTCTGCTACAGCGTTATCGTGATCTGCTGCATCGTCATCGAGGTGTGCTACAGCGTCATCAAGGTCTGCTACAGCGTCATTGAGGTCTGCTACAGCGTCATTGAGATCTGCTACAGCGTCTTGGAGGTCTGCTACAGCTTCATGGAGGTCTGCTAAAGCGTCATCGAGGTCTGCTACAGCGTCTTGGAGGTCTGCTACGGCTTCATGGAGGTCTGCTAAAGCGTCATCGAGGTCTGCTACAGCGTCATGGAGGTCTGCTACAGCGTCATGGAGGTCTGCTACAGCGTCTTGGAGGTCTGCTACAGCGTCTTGGAGATCTGCTACAGCATCTTGGAGGTCTGCTACAGCGTCATGGAGGTCTGCTACAGCGTCATTGAGGTCTGCTACAGCGTCATGGAGGTCTGCTACAGCGTCATGGAGGTCTGCTACAGCTTCATGGAGGTCTGCTACAGTGTCATCAAAATCTGCCGCAGAGTCATCGAAGAGACCATCCACACGTGATGCTGGCTTCCGTTGCTCGTCACACTGGTAAGTTAGCTCGTAATATGTTTGCTTTCAAAATGTTTGAAATGCTTACAGGGCACTGGTAGCCTGTCACAAGCGTTTACGTACGTGTACATCAAATATCTGCAACGCGATATGACCCGCGCTCTGCGAAAACCGACCTTAGGTGCTTCGTAATGTTTTCGAGAAAAAGATCAAAACGTCACGGTCTGTCGATTTTTGAAGATCACAACGTCAGAGTCATGGCGGAACGAAGCAGAAGACGGTCGCTCGCTCAAATAATTGCTGTGGGCTTCTCCCAGGGGTTTCATCCGAACTCCTTCACGATGAATAGTCATTATTTGCCCTGGTCCAATCGCAGTTCTGATGACAGCATTGCCGAGGAGAGTCGAATGTGGAGTCGCAACGCTGATCGAGCTGGACGGCCATGCGGAGGAGAATTTCGATCAGGCGTCAGTTTTGCCACCAGCCCAGGCCCTCAATGCCGGCAATAAACAGAGTGCAGACCAAGAAAAATCGGTTCAAGTACTGTCTACAATCCAGGAGGTGCGCGACAAGTTTGACAAGGGCTGTAGTTGTTCCGCTCTGGTGCTGTTTCAAGAGCGTGACACTTGAAACCTTGCTTTACATTTACAGCGCACACAGCGCACGTCCTCACCAAGTCAGAGCGCTGCTTGTGTGTAGGCGGAAAGCTAGACGTGCTCAGGAGACGTGGTGAGGCTACCCAGCGCGTCCAGCATGCTGGGAGATGTGATAGATGGGGCTCAACAATACTACTCTGAACTACTGAAGGCTACAGTCAGTGGCTGGTGTGGAAGTCATGTACATGCATGTCAGGAAGTCTTTGTGTATGCCTCCAGCCCAGAATCAAGCCCTGGGTGCTGAAATCTGTGCAGGCTGCTGTCAGTGCAAGTGAAATCAGCCCAACACAGGAATTGAATGAACTCTGGAATGAACTGCCTGTGGAAGATGTTGTGGAGCTGAAGCATTTTATAGAGCATTATGATAGCTCATGGCCTCCCTTAACCTGCAGATCCACATGGGCACAACAAGCCAGCACCAACCTACATGTATTTGCCCAGTATCACTACGAAGAAGCTTGTTCATCAGGCGTTCACAAAGCCTGGTGGCAAACCTGTATACAGTACGTTTGGCAAGATTTGGAAAAGAGACTGCCATGATATCACCGATTATGAAACAATGTGTGCGGCAGATGTAGACATAACTAGATCAGTGTTCTACTACCAGTACCAGATAAAACTATCAATATCCTTTAACCCGGCATTAATCTGAGCTTCTTCACTACTTTGCACCTGCCTCTACCCATCACTCCGGCTGCCATATCCTCATACAGAGCCAAATACCTCTTCGAGCAGATTCGTGAGCAACACCATCCACAGAACAGAGATAGAATGTGTCTATCTCCACAACAGGAAGATCCAATGCCATCATAAACCTTTCCTTTTGAAGATTATGACATACAGATTTATTCTGCAAAGTTTGGTTGCAATCATGCTGCTTGAATTCTCACAGCATTGGCTCTGTCAGGGCCGCGCTTGGCGGGTTTGTGACTTGGCTTAGATCAGTCTAGTGGCTACCCAGGTAGACGACCAATATAGTCACCATCCAAGTTGCTAGCTCACACCTGTTTTCCGGCTCACACAAGGTAGTCGAAGGTTGAAGGGGAGCGATCAAAGATACTTTTATTCGTTGGAAGAAGGCGGCTTTTATGTGATTTTGGTTATAGTATAATTGTGATATAATAATTAGTAGGAAATATTTAGTATAGCTTCGGGGAGCTCGCTCACCCACATTACATGATAGTGTTACAAATATGAGTGATCTCCGAGGTTATTCGTACGTCGATCGTGCGACGGAGCCTGGAGTACGCTGTCGGATGTTGCTGCAGCTAGAGCGCGCCGCCTTCGTACGGTGTCTTGATTGGGTCACCCTTCATCTTCTGCCCCGTAGGCTCTTCCCTCTCATTACCCCGTAGGGCGCTTCACGGTCAAGCCGCGACCTCTCCCAAAAAGGGATAACGGAGTCCTCAGTGCGCGAAGCACTTGCAGGACCCTTTACGTCGTACGACGCGAGAAGAGGTGCCATGCTTGCTCGACTAACAAAGGTATCAGCTCCCTTGCAGGACTAAGCAGGGTCCCCTCAAGCTCAACAGTGTAGTGAGTACAATGCTGACGACTTGTACTGAAGGTGTAGCCGCCGTACGACAACACTTGTGACTCGAGGCCACGAGTTGTAAGCCATGATTGCTCAACTAACGAAAGTGCCAAATCCTTCGCAGGACTAATCATGGTTCTTACAGAACTCTAGAATATTTCGGAGCCCAGCTTTTGGCTGCTGAATCTCATTGCGTGCTTGCTTTCACGACGAGTCGAGTCCGGGTCATGACAGCTCCAAAATGTAGCATAAAATCCAGGATTTTAGCTTTTTTTCCTCAAAAATTGTAGGAAAAGTGCAAAGAAATTGTCATTGTATCTAACTGAATATGTATGCAATCCACCTCAAACTTCACCAGAAGTTGAAGAAAGGGTCATGGGTCAACAATCCAGCACAAACTCAATTTCGCCAAAATAGCTAAGGTCGGTTTTTGCAGAGCACTGGTCATATGACTTTATAGGCAAACCACTTAGGGCCCAGCAATTCGAGTTTGGAGTCTGATCTTCTGTCTGCCTGATTCTCTCTCTCTCTCTCTCTCACTCACTCTATCTCGCTGTCTCTCTCTCTCTCTCTCTCTCTCTCTCTCTCTCTCTCCCCCGCTCGCTCTCACGTTCGCGTTCTCTCTCTCTCTCTCGCTCTCTCTCTCTCTCGCTCTCTCTCTCTCTCTCGCTCTCTCTCTCGCTCTCTCTCTTTCTCTCTCTCTCTCTCTCTCTCTCTCACATACACACACTTTGGTGATGTGGCTGGACCTCTCGTGGAAATCCCTTTTGTATGGTGGTACTGGTAACGATTTGAAATTTCTTCTTCCGTCAACCCTTGACGTACTACCTTCTCCGACGAACCTTCACCGTTGGGGAAACACGGTAGTGGATCCGTACTGTAGTTTGTGCCGTGCATGGGCCTGTACTACGCACCACGTGCTTGGCACATGCCGCGTAGCACTGGACCAGGGACGTTACACGTGGAGGCACGACAACGTACTCTGGGCCATCGTCAGAAACATGCGTGAGGAGATTCGAATCCGCACTGCTGCAAACACCGTACAAACCGAAATTCTAATGAGCTTGACTTCATCTCGTTTTGCAATGCGGGAGAGAAGCCAGTTCGCGTTCAGCCAGACGAAAGTTGGTTACGACTGATCTCCTGTCAGCGGCCTCAGACTGGAAACGTCTTGTCGACTCAGTGCAACGATTTCTTTCCCTAGCTGTGTTGCACTTACCACCCTAAGACCAGATAATTATAGTTCTGTACTCTACGAGTCGCAGGATTGTATTCTGGTGGTACTGGTAACGATTTGAAATTTCTTCTTCCGTCAACCCTTGACGTACTACCTTCTCCGACGAACCTTCACCGTTGGGGAAACACGGTAGTGGATCCGTACTGTAGTTTGTGCCGTGCATGGGCCTGTACTACGCACCACGTGCTTGGCACATGCCGCGTAGCACTGGACCAGGGACGTTACACGTGGAGGCACGACAACGTACTCTGGGCCATCGTCAGAAACATGCGTGAGGAGATTCGAATCCGCACTGCTGCAAACACCGTACAAACCGAAATTCTAATGAGCTTGACTTCATCTCGTTTTGCAATGCGGGAGAGAAGCCAGTTCGCGTTCAGCCAGACGAAAGTTGGTTACGACTGATCTCCTGTCAGCGGCCTCAGACTGGAAACGTCTTGTCGACTCAGTGCAACGATTTCTTTCCCTAGCTGTGTTGCACTTACCACCCTAAGACCAGATAATTATAGTTCTGTACTCTACGAGTCGCAGGATTGTATTCTGGATGGAGTTGACAGTTTTTGCTGAGGACAGATTCAGTGTTAGTAACCAGGACAGGCGGCGGCATGCAGATCTGGCCGATCAATGCCGAGCAAATGGGTGGCAGGTTGTTTGTTTTTTGGTTGAGGTAGGTGTGCGTGCTTTCAATGAATTTCAATTTCCACAACAGTAGTTTCCAGCAACAAAAAAAAAACAGAAAAGAAAATGTGTATGAGCAGAGCTGTGAAGCGAAGACATCACTGATGGCATCATGCAAAAAAACAAAGACAAGAAAACGCAGCCGAAAAGGTGTGAAACACTTCTTGTCTACTCGCATTTTTTGAAATGCACTCTCTCCGGGACGGCGATTGGGAGGCCACAAGAACATGCTGAATTCACGCTGTGTATGTCTTCATTTTTCAACTTCCTCCGCAGACGTGCATCAAACTGGACAGTGGACAAGTGCAACACACTATCGCTATTGCAACCAAGGACTGTGATGCAGTGGGCATCGGCATCCAGCTGGGGATCGGACACAGAGCAGAGTTGCGGACATGCAAGCCCAGTGCACACGTGCTGCGTGGAGGAGACAAACTTCACTTTGGTTGCCCTTCATGGAGCGTTGGAAGAGTAAGTCGTAAAATGGCTTTGACGTGATCTTCTAGTCTTGTAGACGACATTTAGCTAGTACATATCCTGCCAAGTGTAGTTGTGAGACTTCCAATGCTGTCTGTCAATAGTCAGTGTGTGTACTGCAGTTGCGCTCGCTGAAATCCCACATGAAATGTATATTTGGCGCTCCGTAACGATAAGGCCCTCGACCATGTTGACACCATGTTAAGCGCGATGCACAATATCGCTCCTGCGACGTGATGAGTGACGAGCGATGTGATCGACGGTCGTTTTCTGCAAAACGTTGCATTGAAGGCTGCCGCAGCTCCGCCGAAGGTTGCATCGCGGGGAAAATGAGCCAAGTTCAACTTCTGCGACGAGCGACGAGTGATGTGCATCACTTTCTACACGGCAGGCGCACGTGACACAAGTTTTGCGGCTCGCGTACGGTTTTGGACTGTGCGTGCCCTCCTGGATTTCGCTGGGATGTGCCGTGCATTGTGCATCGAAGATTCTTTGCACGATATGAAAAGACTGTCTTTCGACGCTCATCGCCTCGGAGAAGTGATATAGTGCATCGCGCTTTAGTTGTACAAGTACTGGTGTGCATGTCCGGCTGTACATTCATCCATTTACTGTAATGCTGTGTTAGGTTTATCCTGTAAAACACGCAGGAAGTCGCAAAAGTTGCACTTTGGTCAACTACTGTGGCAGTGGCCTTGCGACTGCATGTGACTATACGCAATGAGCATTTCCTTGTCTCGAGTATCACATGTCACATAACAAAATACAGATAGTGTCAATGGTGCTTCAAGCGAGGTTCTCAAGAATAACGCGGCCATTTCATTCTGTGTGAGCCCGGCGAATGCCATACTAGTAATATGCTGTGGAAGTGCTGACGTCACGCTGCTTCAACACTCCTACTTACACGAAACACGGAATATGTGAAATAGGTCCAGTTTGGATTTGTCGTAACTCAAAGTTTCATGCCACTGCAATCATCAGACAAATGATAATAAAAACCTAAGACTAGTCATTATGAATCAGATCATGCGTGATACTTAGCACTTAGATTGACATTACTCTACTCGATTCAACGAATGAAGGCCAATATCACACAGATGTTATGGATGATGTGAGGAATAAGTAATGGAATAATGTTGGCACTGACATATGTCAAACTAGTCTTAGTTGTGATGGATAAATATAAATATTAGCACTGATGCATGCCAAAACCAGTCATGACTGTGCCGGGTACTGTCCTTGCGTGGCAGATACGACTGGCTACTACTTGTTCTACTATGTCACGCTAGGTGTGAAGTTTTTTATCTACTCCCTCCACGTCATTAAAATTGTCGCTTCCCAGAGCGATTTTTCAAATCTATTTTGTCCACTCGAAGGGCAAAGAAATCAGCTAGAAATTGAGGCAGAGTATTGTGGACGGACGGGCTTTAGTTTGCGGCCTGCGCATAAGACATGCTAGCCAGTTCACACCGTAATACTGGTGGGTGGAACTGTACATAATCAGTCCAGTATGGCCGCACTCTCCGAACAGGTGCTGGTCTTCTGCATTCAATTTTATAATAATTATTATCCCGTACTGCAGTTGAGTAACTCAATCTAAACTCCCACATCACACATGCTGTAATAGAGCTGGTAGTCAACACAGCAGCAGGGATGGTGATGGTGATGGGGATGGTGATGGTGATGGGGATGGGGATGGGGATGGGGATGGGGATGGGGATGGGGATGGGGATGGTGATGGGGATGGTGATGGTGATGGTGATGGTGATGGTGATGGTGATGGTGATGGGGATGGTGATGGGGATGGGGATGGTGATGGGGATGGTGATGGTGATGGTGATGGGGATGGGGATGGGGATGGGGATGGTGATGGTGATGGGGATGGTGATGGGGATGGTGATGGTGATGGTGATGGGGATGGGGATGGGGATGGTGATGGTGACCTCAACTTAATATAATGCTATTTGGTTTTTTCCCCTTTTATTACTCTGTGTTCATTGCTTGTTTTTGTATTGATTTACTTCCTTGACTGCTTTTGTGTTTCATCATTTTCCGGTTGGTTTTGTGTTGATTTCCCCTGTTCACTTTACATATTGTAATGATATACATTTGCTTTGCCCGTAAAAGAGGCTTTTCTCATGGTGATGGTGATGGTGATGGGGATGGTGATGGGGATGGTGATGGGGATGGGGATGGGGATGGTGATGGTGATGGTGACGGGGATGGCTGTCACTCAGCCTCAGGCCGCATACACCGTTTTTACGAAGGGTCTGTCATCCACATGGACATACCACTTGCGTTGCTCACCTTGTTCGGCTGAGATACTGGCCGAGCTTGATGAGAGGATCAATGATTGCCTGATACCTGCCCTTCTGGGGGATGGCGTTCGTCCTGGTAGCCCTGAGAGAGAGCTGATGTCATTTCCAGTGCGTCTTGGTGGTTTGGCCCTCCCTCTGTTGCAGGATAGTGCACCAGCAGAGCTCGCAGCATCCTTGAGCATCACAAAGCCTCTTGTTCAGCTACTGTTGACTGGCACATATGCGAACCCTCCAAGCGTGCCTGGTGATATGGCAAGGAGCGATTTGTCGGATACTGCCCAGTCAGAGGGCTCCGGTGATACAACCCAGGAGGTTGCCGACCGAGTGAGGCTCTCCAATCATGATCCCGTCCGCGATGCTGTTGGGGACACCCGCCAGCTGGCACGCTCGACTCGGACAAGCAAAATGCGGAGCCTATGCAGCCGGCAACAAGACATTAAGGCGGACTTGAGCTCGGAGCAACAATTTCTTGTTGAAATCGCGTCCGAAAAGGGAGTATCGTCATGGTTGACTGTTGCCCCGCGGTGGCAAGATGGAACCATCCTGAAGAAATCCGACTTCCGTGATGCCCTGTGCATCCGCTATGGGCGAAGGTTGAGTGGGCTACCCGATTCATGTGTTTGTGGTGTGCCTCTCAGCCCCGCTCATGCACTTACCTGTGCCACTGGCGGCTATACCATTGCCCGTCACAATGAGGTGCGGGACTTGGTTGCTGGACTACTGAGGGAGGCTGGAGTGGTGGACGTAGAGACGGAGCCCCGGCTATTGCCCTGCAGCAGTGAGCATTTGCCTGGTGGTCGTTCCCTCAACCGATGCGCAGAAGCTCGTCTGGATGTGCGGGCTCGCGGCTTTTGGTCGTGGCAACAGGACGCTTACTTTGATGTGCGGATCACTCATCCCGCAGCGTCTGTGTTGTCTCGATCACAAGCCCTGAGTCAGCTGAAGTCTCACGAGCGAAACAAGAAAAATCAATACGCCAGCCGTGTGGTTAACGTGGAGCGCGGCTCCTTCACGCCACTTGTGTTCTCGACGTACGGCTTTAGTGGCCCAGAAACTACTCAATTCCTGAAATCATTGGCCTCCCTGTTTGTTGAGCGCCATACTGAACTGAAGTACCCACTAGTAATGGGCATACTACGCACCCGTTTGTCTTTCTGCTTGCTGCGATGGGCAGTCACCTGCTTCCGCGGTTGCCGCGGTTCGTACGGCAAGAGGCGACAGCCGAACTCATTTCTGGCCCAGTGCCGCCAGGCGGAGTAGGGTGCTGCCTTTGGCCTCAACCTAATATAATGCTATTTTGGTTTTTTCCCCTTTTATTACTCTGTGTTCATTGCTTGTTTTTGTATTGATTTACTTCCTTGACTGCTTTTGTGTTTCATCATTTTCCGGTTGGTTTTGTGTTGATTTCCCCTGTTCACTTTACATATTGTAATGATATACATTTGCTTTGCCCGTAAAAGAGGCTTTTCTCATGGGGATGGGGATGGTGATGGTGATGGTGATGGGGATGGTGATGGGGATGGTGATGGGGATGGTGATGGGGATGGGGATGGGGATGGGGATGGTGATGGGGATGGTGATGGGGATGGTGATGGGGATGGGGATGGGGATGGTGATGGGGATGGTGATGGTGATGGGGATGGGGATGGTGATGGTGATGGGGATGGGGATGGGGATGGTGATGGGGATGGGGATGGGGATGGGGATGGGGATGGGGATGGGGATGGGGATGGTGATGGTGATGGTGATCTATTCACTGTACTTTATGGTATAACAGGGTTGCCGTCGGGGTTGCCACGCTACAAGAACATGCCAAATTCTCAGTTTTGTAGGATAGCGTCAATCATATCCCAACCCTTCTGGGCAGACATTGTTCAGAAGGAGCTCAGATGGGGAAAATGTTCGTATAATGAGAGAGTGACATAGGGCTCATACAAGGACTATGTATATGTACATGCATGCCATACAGTTTCATCGTCGAAAATGCATACCACCATGCATTGACGCCGGGCATTCTAGCAGCACACACTAACCTGGTATATCTACAGACTACACGACTGCACTGGTGAACTCAAGTACTGCATTGTGCATCTTTTTTTTGTTTTTATTTTTCGAAACTTTGGAGGACCTGCCATTCCAGGTAACCGGCCTTCCGGCTGCCATTCCAATACTTGATCTTGCGGATAGATGATGTGGGGATAATCTATGTTCCACTGTATTCGTGTGATATTTTTCTTTGCCTTCAGACGTGCATCGGACTGAACTGTTGGCCACTGTAATGCATGGCATTGCTGCTGCAAACATCTACAGTGATGCAGTGGACATCAACAATCAACTTATAATTTTTCATGTGTCTGAAAAAATATTTTTTCCGAGTGTGCTGTTTGTTTGCCGCTTGTTGCCGCTATCTTAGTTGTTGTGTGTGGATCATGGTCGTCGTTATGTCATAGCAGTGGGCTTGTGCACGTGTGTGTGATGAGGAGATGCTCCCCGCATGAAACTAACGGTTGCCAGCATGACTCCTTGTACCCCATGGCCTTACAAGGAGCGCAACATGTATTCTTCCCCTATTGTCAACCACTCAGCAGTTTACAGATTGTTGAATTCTAATGCCGGGAGAGCTGGGTGATTGGATGTGACATCGTTGCTTGTAACGTGCAGTGTACCATGCTTCTGTGGCATTATACTGTGCAGGGCCTCGGGGGCCTTCCTGCCGCTTGAAACGTACACCCCATGCTACTGTCATATTCGATTAGTTGTTCAGTATAATTCTATTGTTAGCAGTAAGGTGTGTGTGTGTGTGTGTGTGTGTGTGTGTGTGTGTGTGTGTGTGTGTGTGTGTGTGTGTGTGTGTGTGTGAAAGAAATGAAAAAGACCAAAAATAGGGATTCACTGGCCAGAAAATGTCACTCCAAATAGCTGTATGGTGTAGACCAGGCTGAATAGTGACGGTCAATTCTTCAGCTTTGCAAGCTGTTGAATGGTGTGATCCCAGCACAAGTTGCTATGGCTTCTGCCGTAGCATTGCTATCATCACCTCCGGCGATGGGCGTCAAAGGTGTGTGTGTGTGTGTGAGCGATGGGAGAAAGGAGATATTTGGATGTTACGGCATTCAGTGTCTGGTTTGAGTGCTGTTTGAAATAGGGTTGTGATTGGGTACTAGGGTATCCATACTGGTATGGTTGCCTCCACGGAATTGCAGCTTTTAGCAGAGTGTGCTTATATGTGTGTGGGGGGGGGGGGGAGGGGGGCTATGCAACCCTGCTTTGGTTGTAGAGTTGGTCAATGAAATCCTTTCCCGTGAGTCAAGTAGGCGCTGCCCTATTCGCAGCCCAGCCCGGTGGGCACAGGTCTAGGGCAACATACTTTTTAAGTGACTCGTTCGTGGGATTTAATTGCACGGTAAAGGAGTAAGGACTTCAGCCCTCGGCAATCCTTCTTAGTGTGCTGATGACCGAAGTCCCTACTCATACTGAACTCTGATTGCTTGAATTTTAGAATTCCCCAAGCCGGCGAAGAGAATTCTAATGTCGGGAGAGCTGGGTGATTGGATGTGACATCGTGTACCATGCTTCTGCGGCATTGTCCTGTGCAGGGCCTCGGCGCCTCCCTGCTGCTTCAAACGTACACCCCATGCTACTGTCATATTCGTTTAGTTGTGCGGTACAATTATAATGTTAGCGGTAAGGTGTTTGTGTGTATGTGAGCGTGTGTTTGTGTGTGTGTGTGAGAAAGCGATGGCAGAAAGGAGATACTTGGATGTCTGGCTCGAGTCCTGTTTGAAATAGGGTTGTGATTGGGTACTAGGGTATGCGTCCCTGCTTCAGGTAGAGTGTTGCTCAAAACCATGCCAGTTAGAGACACTGTGGCACCGAAAACAGTCCTTCCTACTTCCTCATACTGAACTCTGATTGACTGAATTTTAGAATTCTCTGAGCCGGCAGGGAGAATTCTGAAATGACTGGTCAACCGGAAATTTAGAATTCTCTAAGCCGGCAGGGAGAATTCTGAAATGACTGGTCAACCGCCCTCAGCCAATCATAGTTCAGCAAGTGTTTTCTTCTTGGCCTGCTGATGTCTGAACTCTTGCTGGTTTTTTTTTCTGCATGAGGGAGGAATGTCTGAACTCTTGTTGTTTCTGCATGAGGGAGGAGAAACAAGCCTGGAGAAGAAAATCTAAAATGAATATCTGAACTCTTGTTGTTTCTTTTTCTGCATGAGGGAGGAATGTCTGAACTCTTGTTGTTTCTGCATGAGGGAGGAGAAACAAGCCTGGAGAAGAAAATCTAAAATCTAAATTTCTGGCCATCCCAAACCCGACCACCATCCCCTCCTGGAATGATTACTTTTATAGCCTATCCTGGCACTGCACTTCACACTTGAAATGACTGGCCAACCGCCCTCGGCCAATCAGAGAGCAGCAAGTGTTTGCTTCTTAGATTTTCTTCTCTAGGCGGGCCTGTTTCTCCTTCCTCACGCAGAAAGCTGATGGCTGAACTCCTGTTGTTTCTGCGTGAGAAAGGAGAAACAAGCCTAGAGAAGAATGCTGATGGCTGAACTCCTGTTGTTTCTGCGTGAGAAAGGAGAAACAAGCCTAGAGAAGAATGCTGATGGCTGAACTCCTGTTGTTTCTGCGTGAGAAAGGAGAAACAAGCCTAGAGAAGAATGCTGATGGCTGAACTCCTGTTGTTTCTGCGTGAGAAAGGAGAAACAAGCCTAGAGAAGAAAATCTAAAATTCTGGCCATCCCAAACCCCGACCACCATCCCCTCCTGGAATGATTACTTTTATAGCCTATCCTGGCACACTGCACTTCACACCTGAAATGACTGGCCAACCGCCCTCGGCCAATCAGAGAGCAGCAAGTGTTTGCTCTTGGCTTGCTGATGGCTGAACTCTTGTTGTTTCTGCATGAGGAAGGAGAAACAAGCAGGAAAATTCTACCGGAGAAGAAAATCTTAGAAGTCTCTTCTCCGGCTTGCTGATTGATCTCTGTCTCCCCCCCCCCCCCTCTCTCTCTCTCTCTCCATTTACAAAAGGAGTAAATTTTGACAAAATCTATCTCCGAATTGGAATATTTGAACAGGCGCTGATTCTGTTTATTGCCATCTTTTAAAATCTATCTCCACTAATCTATCTCACCGTGCTGGACATGGCAATCTTGGCTGAGGTATCGAAAAGTTGGAAACTCAGATTTACAAGGTTTTGTCTAGACTTTCCCGTTAGCAACAGTAAATAGCGTGCACCAAGGTCATTAGAAATCTCCATACATAAAGTACACTACATTGGCACCAGCAATGCAATGCAGTATATAATCCAGTGGAGTGCGGGCCAGCGGATTTTGTCCCGTGACCAAAGCAGTCGAGTGTGCACATCTTTAGCAGCCCGGCAGTATATTATTCATAGGAGTGAAGTACAAGTTCCATTATAATCGAACAGGCCACCCATCCCAATACAATGAAGTGCTGGTCATATTTCGCTATACCAGACACAATGTATCTGCACAGTAACACAAAGCGTATGTATATTCTAAAATGCAAAGCAGTGTGCGTGCGGAGTGTTCTTTTAAGAGGGCACGAGTCATTGTAATCTCCAGGTACCTTGTCAACTCTTCCTTATAGAAACATGTTCAGTTGTAATTGAAGCTGGTCGAGGTCCTGTTCATTTGGCTCCCGGTCTGCAGGGTTGTGGTTGGAAATTCTTTGCACAGCCTTTTGCTTGTATTCATCATTGCCCAACTTTCATCACCACAACTATAGTGTCTCAGCTGGCCTCCTCCTGAGAAAAACGAGAGTAACGAACAAGAAAATACACCCGTGCATACACACATGCATGCAATAGTGCACACACTTATACACACACACACACACACACACATACACCAACACACACACACACACACACACACACACACACACACACACACACACACACACACACACACATATACACACACACATATACAAACATACATGTACACACACATTTTGTAATTGTACTTGCTCACTTCCATGACTGGTCACATGGGTCTCCCCGGCAGAGGGGAGAGAGATGAAAAAGGAATCTTGGAAAGATGTCTCAATTGGCTATTAAACTGCTTAACGGCCGACACCCCCTGAATTCGTCAAACTCTTGGTGAACTTGACTTGTACTGGGTGGAAAATATTCCACTTCTGGGCTCGCCACACCTCAGTATGTGGGTGAGGACAAGGTGCAGAACCAGGGTTGACGGCATTAGGGCATCCGTCCCGGGATCCAATTGCAGTTACCACTGCCCCCGGTGACGGTAATACTTACTTACTTACACACCAACACCCACACAAACACCATGTACAATGTACCATGCATACAACCGTCGCAAGAGAAGCACGCAAATCTGCAAATGCACTGGATGTGCTCCCACAGATTTTCTCTTATAGCAACGATAGCAACGATAGCGAACAAGACACACACACACACACACACACACACACACCATTGGACAATTGGACGCCCATCGCCGGAGGCGATGATAGCGATGCTACGGCAGAAGCCATAGCAGCTTGTGCTGGGATTGCACCATTCAACAGCTTGCACGGCTGAAGAATTGACCGCCACTATTCAGCCTGGTCTACACCACACAGCTATGAAGTGGCTTTTTCTGGCCAGTGAATCCCTACACACACACCTCAGACCTCAGACTTGCCCATCGCGGAAGCGATGATAGCGAACAGCTATGTTAGGCATAGCAACTTGTACTGGGATTACACCACACACACACACACACACACACACACACACACACACACACACACACACACACACACACATATACACACACACACACACACACACACGCACACACCAAACATGGCAATGAGCTACACATATCTTCCTATTACAGTAGAGTCGCGTGTCCAAGAATGTTGTTTCCAAGGGGTTAGTCTGGGGCATTCTTATTTTGTTGGGTAATCTGGCTGCGTTCTTATAGCACGTTCTAGGAAACAATTCGTACTGGATCATATCTATCCCAAAAGCCGCCGGAAAATCAACACCGCCATTCTTAACTTAGGGCTGTGGCGTTCACAGCATTTCATGCAGGACGTTCTAGGGCTCGACGTTCTTCATTGCGCGACTCTACTGTACTTCACTGTACTCTACTGTACTAAAATTACCTAATGCCCAAATCAATGCGATCACTCACATCACAACCGGGTCATGTTATAGAGAGGTACATTGAAAGTGACACGCGGGCACAAATGGTCAAAAGCGACAATTTCTCACCTTTCTTCCCGTTCAAAACTCAACAACTGACCATCGCCACCCTCATCTTGTTGTGTAGCTGGACATAGGGAAGTACACCAAGAAAAAATGCCACATTTCAATAAACAACTCGCCCAGGGCTGCTGAATGCTGAAAAGAACCAATCTCCCAGTTTTGGGCCTTTCTGCCCATGATTCTTCACTTTGCGACTAAACTATTCACAGCAGTGCCAAATTTTCGACGCCACTGAATGCGGGTGCGAGCGGCCCACTAGCAAACCAAAAATCAAATCGATGCGACCATTCACATCACAGCCGGGTCATGTTATAGAGAGGTACGTTGAAAGTGACATGTGGGCACAAATAGTCAAAAAGCGACAATTTCTCACCTTTCTGCCCGTTCGAAGCTCAACAACTGACCATCGCCACCCTCATCTTGTTGTGTAGCTGGACATAGGGAAGTGCACCAAGAAAAAATGCCACATTTCAATAAACAACTCGCCCAGGGCTGCTGAATGCTGAAAAGAACCAATCTCCCAGTTTTGGGCCTTTCTGCCCATGATTCTTCACTTTGCGACTAAACTATTCACAGCAGTGCCAAATTTTCGGCGCCACTGAATGCGGGTGCGAGCGGCCCACTAGCAAACCAAAAATCAAATCAATGCGACCATTCACATCACAGCCGGGTCATGTTATAGAGAGGTACGTTGAAAGTGACATGTGGGCACAAATAGTCAAAAAGCGACAATTTCTCACCTTTCTGCCCGTTCGAAGCTCAACAACTGACCATCGCCACCCTCATTTTGTTGTGTAGCTGGACATAGGGAAGTGCACCAAGAAAAATGCCACATTTCTATAAATAACTCGCCCAGGGCTGCTGAATGCTGAAAAGAACCAATCTCCCAGTTTTGGGCCTTTCTGCCCATGATTATTCACTTTCCGACTAAACTACTCACAGCAGTGCCAAATTTTCGGCGCCACTGAATGCGGGTGCGAGCAGCCCACTAGCAAACCAAAAATCAAATCGATGCGACCATTCACATCACAGCCGGGTCATAATATAGAGAGGTACGTTGAAAGTGACATGTGGGCACAAATAGTCAAAAAGCGACAATTTCTCACCTTTCTGCCCGTTTGAAGCTCAACAACTGACCATTGCCACCCTCATCTTGTTGTGTAGCTGGACATAGGGAAGTCCACCAAGAAAAAATGCCACATTTCAATAAACAACTCGCCCAGGGCTGCTGAATGCTGAAAAAAACCAAACTCCCAGTTTTGGACTTTTTTTGCCCGTGATTTTTCACTTTGTGACTAAACTATTCACAGCAATGCAAAATTTTCGGGGTCCCTGAATGCGGGTGCCAGCGCCCTACAAGCAAACAAAAACTAAAATCAATGCGACCCCTCACATCACAGCCGGGTCAAGTTATAGAGAGGTACGTTGAAAGTGACACCCGGGCACAAATGGTCAAAAAGCGACAATTTCTCACTATTCTGCCCGTTTGAAGCTCAACAACTGACCATTGCCAACCTCATCTTGTTGTGGAGCTGGACATAGGGAAGTGCAGCAAGAAAAAATGCCACATTTCAATAAACAACTCGCCCAGGGCTGCTGAATGCTAAAAAAAAAACAATCTCCCAGTTTTGGATCTTTTTGCCCGTGATTCTCCACTTTGCGACTAAATTATTCACAGCAGTGCAAAATTTTCGACGTCCCTGAATGCGGGTGCCAGCGCCCTACAAGCAAACAAAAACTAAAATCAATGCGACCACTCACATCACAGCCGGGTCATGTTATACAGAGGTACGTTGAAAGTGACACGTGGGCACAAATGTTCAAAAAGCGACAATTTCTCACCTTTCTGCTCGTTCGAAGCTCAACAACTGACCATCGCCACCCTCATTTTGTTGTGTAGCTGGATATAGGGAAGTGCAGCAAGAAAAATGCCACATTTCAATAAACAACTCGCCTAGTGCTGCTAAATGCTGAAAAGAAACAATCTCCCAGTCTTGGGCCTTTTTGCCCGTGATTCTTCATTTTCCGGCTAAACTATTCACAGCAATGCCAAATTTTTGGCGTCACTGAATGCGGGTGCCAGCGGCCTACAAGCAAACCAAAAATCAAATCAATGCGACCACTCACATCGCAGCCGGGTCATGTTATACAGAGGTACGTTGAAAGTGACACGTGGGCACAAATGTTCAAAAAGCGACAATTTCTCACCGTTCTGCCCGTTCGAAGCTCAACAACTGACCATCGCCACCCTCATCTTGTTGTGTAGCTGGATATAGGGAAGTGCACCAAGAAAAAATGCCACATTTCAATAAACAACTCGCCCAGGGCTGCTGAATGCTGAAAAGAAACAATCTCCCAGTTTTGGCCTTTTTTGCCCGTGATTCTTCACTTTGCGACTAAACTATTCACAGCAATGCCAAATTTTTGGCGTCAATGAATGCGGGTGCCAGCGGCCAACAAGCAAACCAAAACTAAAATCAATGCGACCACTCACATCACAGCCGGGTCATGTTATAGAGAGGTACGTTGAAAGTGACACGCAGGCACAAATGGTCAAAAAGCAACAATTTCTCACCTTTCTACCCGCTCGAAACTCTAGAACTGACCAATGCTACCCTCAACGTGTTGTATAACTGGACATAGGGAAGTGCGCCAAAAATAATGCCACATTTCAATAAACAACGCGCCCAGGGCTGCTGAATGCTGAAAAGAACCAATCTCCCAGTTTTGGGCCTTTTGCCCGTGATTCATCACTTTTGCGACTAAACTATTCACAGCAGTGCCAAATTTTCGGTGTCACTGAATGCTGGTGCCAGCGGCCTACACGCAAACCAACAATTTAATTATCACTCCCCCCCCCCCCCTCACGTGCCCGCGGACTCCTGCATATACACTCACACAATAACCACACAACTGTTTGGGGATAGCGCGCTTCTTGTATTATGCCAAACTTGACACACTGAGTCCAGCTTGACTCAGCTGAGTCCCTAACTGCTATTTACTGCTCTAACATGAAGCCGTGCCTGGAAGAAGGGAAAGAGCGAAAAAAGAAAAAAAATTCTGGCCTTCTGCAAGCAATAGCAAGTAATGAGTGGCGGCTGTGTAAAGTCGCACAACCATGAAGTCGACCGGGTGATGGTGAGTGTCTGGCACACATCTTGCTCTGCTGCTCCACCCGCGCATACCTGATATGGTGGTGCGCTTACGGGCGGGCTGCCTGGGCCCCAGATGCCTCCCTGATGCGCCACAGGGTGCAGTCGAAGCACCTGTATCACTTCGGTGATCCAAATGCGAATGCAGCCTTGCCGGTCACCCGCCGGCCTGCCGCCTACACGACCAGCCTGAGACTGGCCCTGCCGCATTTGGCGCTTCTAAACTCTGCAATCCGGTAGACAGCTCACTGGGCTGCCAAATACGTGACTGGCTTGAGGACAGTTCCATACTGCACGGCAGGGCTCCCAGCTCAGGTCGCACGCCGTAGCGGCGTGAGCTGGGCGCGGTGAGGGTTGGTGATAACTACAGTTTCCTCCTTCCTCCTCCGGAAACTTCCATTCAATGCGACTACTCACATCACAGCCGGATCATGTTATAGAGAGGTACGTTGAAAGTGACACGTGGGCACAAATGGTCAAAAAGCGACAATTTCTCACCTTTCTGCCCGTTCGAAGCTCAACAACTGACCATCGCCACCCTCATCTTGTTGTGTAGCTGGACATAGGGAAGTGCACCAAGAAAAAATGCCACATTTCAATAAACAACTCGCCCAGGGCTGCTGAATGCTGAAAAGAACCAATCTCCCAGTCTTGGGCCTTTTTGCCCGTGATTCTTCGCTTTGCGACTAAATTATTCACAGCAGTGCCAAATTTTCGGCGTCACTGAATGCGGGTGCCAGCGGCCTACAAGCAAACGAAGAATAAAATCAATGCGACCACTCACATCACGGCCGGGTCATGTGATGGAGAGGTACGTTGAAATTGATACGAGGCCACAAATGGTCAAAAAGCGACAATTTCTCACCTTTCTGCCGGTTCGAAGCTCAACAACTGACCATCGCCACCCTCATCTTGTTGTGTAGCTGGACGTAGGGAAGTGCACAAAGAAAAAATGCCACATTTCAATAAACAACTCGCCCAGGGCTGCTGAATGCTGAAATGAACCAATCTCCCAGTCTTGGGTCTTTTTGCCCGTGATTCTCCACTTTGCGACTAAATTATTCACAGCAGTGCAAAATTTTCGGCGTCACTAAATGCGGATGCCAGCGGCCGACAAGCAAACGAAGAATAAAATCAATGCGACCACTCACATCACGGCCGGGTCATGTTATGGAGAGGTACGTTTGAAAGTAGGGGTCAAACGGGTGTACCTTTAACCCTTTCCATGCCGGGGCCCCTTTTCTCCAATCGGCCGGCTGTCCAGTGCACTGACTCTCTTGGTGAGTTTGCGCGCACAGCTCTGAATGGAATTTATTCCCATTTCACTCCACCATGATGGATTTTCATCATCCTGGGCTCGTTGGAAAGATCAGGACCAAGCGAATCCATCATGGTAGATCTCAGCAACATAGACACAACAGGGCCACTTCCACCTCCTCTCCGAACTACTCCACCGTGCCTCGGAACGGCACAACTCAATCTCACGTTCTTGTTCGGCATCTTGCCCAAATAATTCAACCGATTTTCACCATTCGAACTGCGCTGCAAAGCTGAGATCCAAGCGCTTCATTTGATGTCCATCACGCATGCGTCGTGCAAAAGGGAAATCCCCTAGCACGCTCCAAAAAACTGCGAAGTCATGAACAAAAAAAATCGTGTTCGATCCGGCCCGTGATTTTGGTGTTCATCCTGTCGCCGCTCAGTGATTCTTTATCCCATCGCGACGCACATTATATCCACGGAAAGATGAGCTCAAGACCTTTCCAACGGTGTATTGATTGTTGCGATGCGTTTATGTTTCACAGAGTTACGATAGTTTGTACACTAGTCTATGCACTGCAATGTAACGTGCGCACTACGAGGACGAGATATCTCGTCCTTGGCCAATCGCGTGGGGGTCTGTAGGACGAGTTATCTCGTCCTTGGCACTGAAAGGGTTAACTAACGAACGGGTAATTTTCTTAACGGGCGGGTTAACAGGCACCCTTTAGCAGCCATATTATTTTTTTGCGCATTTCTCACATAAATCATGATTAATTTTAAATTTGTATATTCTCAGGTTGTATTTTGATACTACATTATGATTCGTGTATCATAATATTATTATGGCAATGAAGGTTCCAAATGAATGTCATCCGTGCATTTGCCCATGTACATAACTTCACAGGCAGTAACTTACAATCGTACATGATGGTCCTACAAGCTACATGTATTTTGATACATGTACGCAAATCAGCTGCAGATCGATGTGATTCAAGCCATGCAAGGCGTTGCATTCAGAAGATGTTCGCACCCATAGCTAGCTGGGGTGCCTGACACAGCTGATGTGCTGCTGGCCAGCTAGCTGCTAGTGCTAGCTTGTTGAACTCGTGAAATGAATCTTCACAAACCCGTAATCTTGTATGCAATATTTCAAACTACTTTTCAGCTCGTCGATTGAAGGAACAAACTACAACCATGAGTATCATACATGTAGCTACCACCTACGGACATCACCGTGTGTGACACTCCGACTGGTCCCTCAGCCTGGTGACACTAGTTCATCAAGTACTGTGGCAGGTTCGATGTTGGAGAACCATCGTAACTTTCTAGTTACTAGTACTCAGCTGCCACCTTGAACGAGTTTCAAGTCTTGCATTTTCTCACATCACAATCAAAAAACTCCAGTACGAGGATTTTTACTTGTACTAGAGTGGAAAGAACAACTGTCAAGTCTGTCTCTCAGCCTGCTCCTGCCTGATAAAGTCGAAAGCGGGAATGCACAGGAAAAAGGAAAAGAGTATCCGCACTCCTATTTTGAGTCTTGGAATACGATAGGATCACCTTTTTTCTTTTCTTTTTTTACAAACGGGTACCCTTTTACTAACGGTACCTGAGATTAACGCGCGGGTACCCGGTACACCCGTTTGACCCCTAGTTGAAAGTGACACGTGGACACAAATAGTCAAAAAGCGACAATTTCTCACCTTTCTGCCCGTTCGAAGCTCAACAACTGACCATCGCCACCCTGATCTTGTTGTATAGCTGGACATAGGGAAGTGCACCAAGAAAAAATGCCACATTTCAATAAACAACTCACCCAAGGCTGGTGAATGCTGAAAAGAACCAATCTCCCAGTTTTGGGTCTTTTTGCTCGTGATTCTTCACTTTGCGACTAAACTATTCATAGTAGTGACAAGTTTTCAGTGTCACTGAATGCGGGTGCCAGCGGTCTGCAAGCAAACCAAAAATCAAATCAATGCGACCACTCACATCACAGCTGGGTCATGTTATAGAGAGGTACGTTGAAAGTGACACGTGGGCACAAATGGTCAAAAAGCGACAATTTCTCACCTCTCTGCCCGTTCGAAGCTCAACAACCGACCATTATCACCGTCATCTTTTTGTGTAGCTGGACATAGGGAAGTGCACCAAGAAAAAATGCCACATTTCAATAAACAACTCGCCCAGGGCTGCTGAATGCTGAAATGAACCAATCTCCCAGTCTTGGGTCTTTTTGCCCGTGATTCTCCACTTTGCGACTAAATTATTCACAGCAGTGCAAAATTTTCGGCGTCACTAAATGCGGATGCCAGCGGCCGACAAGCAAACGAAGAATAAAATCAATGCGACCACTCACATCACGGCCGGGTCATGTTATGGAGAGGTACGTTTGAAAGTAGGGGTCAAACGGGTGTACCTTTAACCCTTTCCATGCCGGGGCCCCTTTTCTCCAATCGGCCGGCTGTCCAGTGCACTGACTCTCTTGGTGAGTTTGCGCGCACAGCTCTGAATGGAATTTATTCCCATTTCACTCCACCATGATGGATTTTCATCATCCTGGGCTCGTTGGAAAGATCAGGACCAAGCGAATCCATCATGGTAGATCTCAGCAACATAGACACAACAGGGCCACTTCCACCTCCTCTCCGAACTACTCCACCGTGCCTCGGAACGGCACAACTCAATCTCACGTTCTTGTTCGGCATCTTGCCCAAATAATTCAACCGATTTTCACCATTCGAACTGCGCTGCAAAGCTGAGATCCAAGCGCTTCATTTGATGTCCATCACGCATGCGTCGTGCAAAAGGGAAATCCCCTAGCACGCTCCAAAAAACTGCGAAGTCATGAACAAAAAAAATCGTGTTCGATCCGGCCCGTGATTTTGGTGTTCATCCTGTCGCCGCTCAGTGATTCTTTATCCCATCGCGACGCACATTATATCCACGGAAAGATGAGCTCAAGACCTTTCCAACGGTGTATTGATTGTTGCGATGCGTTTATGTTTCACAGAGTTACGATAGTTTGTACACTAGTCTATGCACTGCAATGTAACGTGCGCACTACGAGGACGAGATATCTCGTCCTTGGCCAATCGCGTGGGGGTCTGTAGGACGAGTTATCTCGTCCTTGGCACTGAAAGGGTTAACTAACGAACGGGTAATTTTCTTAACGGGCGGGTTAACAGGCACCCTTTAGCAGCCATATTATTTTTTTGCGCATTTCTCACATAAATCATGATTAATTTTAAATTTGTATATTCTCAGGTTGTATTTTGATACTACATTATGATTCGTGTATCATAATATTATTATGGCAATGAAGGTTCCAAATGAATGTCATCCGTGCATTTGCCCATGTACATAACTTCACAGGCAGTAACTTACAATCGTACATGATGGTCCTACAAGCTACATGTATTTTGATACATGTACGCAAATCAGCTGCAGATCGATGTGATTCAAGCCATGCAAGGCGTTGCATTCAGAAGATGTTCGCACCCATAGCTAGCTGGGGTGCCTGACACAGCTGATGTGCTGCTGGCCAGCTAGCTGCTAGTGCTAGCTTGTTGAACTCGTGAAATGAATCTTCACAAACCCGTAATCTTGTATGCAATATTTCAAACTACTTTTCAGCTCGTCGATTGAAGGAACAAACTACAACCATGAGTATCATACATGTAGCTACCACCTACGGACATCACCGTGTGTGACACTCCGACTGGTCCCTCAGCCTGGTGACACTAGTTCATCAAGTACTGTGGCAGGTTCGATGTTGGAGAACCATCGTAACTTTCTAGTTACTAGTACTCAGCTGCCACCTTGAACGAGTTTCAAGTCTTGCATTTTCTCACATCACAATCAAAAAACTCCAGTACGAGGATTTTTACTTGTACTAGAGTGGAAAGAACAACTGTCAAGTCTGTCTCTCAGCCTGCTCCTGCCTGATAAAGTCGAAAGCGGGAATGCACAGGAAAAAGGAAAAGAGTATCCGCACTCCTATTTTGAGTCTTGGAATACGATAGGATCACCTTTTTTCTTTTCTTTTTTTACAAACGGGTACCCTTTTACTAACGGTACCTGAGATTAACGCGCGGGTACCCGGTACACCCGTTTGACCCCTAGTTGAAAGTGACACGTGGACACAAATAGTCAAAAAGCGACAATTTCTCACCTTTCTGCCCGTTCGAAGCTCAACAACTGACCATCGCCACCCTGATCTTGTTGTATAGCTGGACATAGGGAAGTGCACCAAGAAAAAATGCCACATTTCAATAAACAACTCACCCAAGGCTGGTGAATGCTGAAAAGAACCAATCTCCCAGTTTTGGGTCTTTTTGCTCGTGATTCTTCACTTTGCGACTAAACTATTCATAGTAGTGACAAGTTTTCAGTGTCACTGAATGCGGGTGCCAGCGGTCTGCAAGCAAACCAAAAATCAAATCAATGCGACCACTCACATCACAGCTGGGTCATGTTATAGAGAGGTACGTTGAAAGTGACACGTGGGCACAAATGGTCAAAAAGCGACAATTTCTCACCTCTCTGCCCGTTCGAAGCTCAACAACCGACCATTATCACCGTCATCTTTTTGTGTAGCTGGACATAGGGAAGTGCACCAAGAAAAAAGGCCACATTTCAATAAACAACGCGCCCAGGGCTGCTGAATGCTGAAAAGAACCAATCTCCCAGTCTTGGGCCTTTTTGCCCGTGATTCTTCACTTTGCGACTAAACTTTTCACAGCAATGCCAAATTTTCGGCGTCACTGAATGCGAATGCCGGCGGCCTACAAGCAAACCAAAAATAAAATTAATGCAACCATTCACATCACGGCCGGGTCATGTTATGGAGAGGTAACGTTGATAGTGACACGTGGACAGAAATGGTTAAAAAGCGACAATTTCTCACCTTTCTGCCCATTAGAAACTCAAGAAATGACCACTGAATGATCGCCACCCTCATCTTGTTGTATGGCTGGACATAGGGAAGTGCACCAAGAAAAAATGCCACATTTCAATAAACAACTCGCCCAGGGCTGCTGAATGCTGAAAAGAAACAAACACCCAGTTTTGGGCTTTTTGCCCGTGATTCTTTACTTTGCGACTAAACTATTCACAGCAGTGCCAAATTTTTGGCGTCACTGAATGCGGGTGCCAGCGGCCTACAAGCAAAACAAAAATCACATCAATGCGACCACTCACATCATAGCTCGGTCATGTTATAGAGAGGTACGTTGAAAGTGACACGTGGGCACAAATGGTCAAAAAGTGACAATTTCCAAGTCACCTTTCTGCCCGTTCGAAGCTCAACAACTGACCATCGCCACCCTCATCTTGTTGTGTAGCTGGACATAGGGAAGTGCACCAAGAAAAAAAGGCCACATTTCAATAAACAACTCGCCCAGGGCTGCTGAATGCTGAAAAGAACCAATCTCCCAGTCTTGGGCCTTTTTGCCCGTGATTCTTCGCTTTGCGACTAAATTATTCACAGCAGTGCCAAATGTTCGGCGTCACGAATGCGGGTGCCAGCGGCCTACAAGCAAACGAAGAATAAAATCAATGCGACCACTCACATCACGGCCGGGTCATGTTATGGAGAGGTACGTTGAAGGGACCCGTGGAGACAAACAGTCAAGAAGCGACAATGTCTCACCTTTCTGCCCGTTCGAAACTCTAGAACTGACCATCGCCACCCTCATCTTGTTGTATAGCTGGACGTAGGGAAGTGCACCAAGAAAAAATGCCACATTTCAATAAACAACTCGCCCAGGGCTGTTGAATGCTGAAAAGAACCAATCTCCCAGTTTTGGGCCTTTTTGCCCATGATTATTCACTTTGCGACTAAACTGTTCACAGCAGTGCCAAATTTTCGGCGTCACTGAATGCGGGTGCCAGCGGCCTACAAGCAAACCAAAAATCAAATCAATGCGACCACTCACATCACGGCCGGGTCATGTTATGGAGAGGTACGTTGAAAGTGACACGTGGACACAAATGGTCAAAAAGCAACAATTTCTCACCTTTCTGCCCGTTTGAAGCTCAACAACTGACCATCGCCACCCTCAACTTGTTGTATAGCTGAAAAAAGGAAAGTGCACCAAGAAAAAATGCCACATTTCAATAAAAAACTCGCCCAGGGCTGCTGAAAGCTGAACAGAACCCATCTGGGTCCCAGTCTTGGGCCTTTTTGCCCGTGATTCTTCACTTTACGACTAAACTATTCACAGCAGTGCCAAATTTTTGGCGTCACTGAATGCGGGTGCCAGCGGCCTTCAAGCAAACCAAAAATCAAATCAATGCGACCACTCACATCACAGCTGGGTCATGTTATAGAGAGGTACGTTGAAAGTGACACGTGGGTACAAATGTTCAAAAAGCGACAATTTCTCCCCTTTCTGCCCGTTCGAAGCTCAACAACTGACCATCGCCACCCTGATCTTGTTGTGTAGCTGGACATAGGGAAGTGAACCCAGAAAAATGCCACATTTCATTAAACAACTCGCCCAGGGCTGCAGAAAACTGCAAAGAAACAATCTCCCAGTTTTGGGCCTTTTTGCCCGTGATTCTTGACTTTGCGACTAAGCTATTCACAGGATTGCCTAATGTTCCGCGTCGCTAAATGCGGGTGCCAGGTGCCTGCAAGCAAACCAAAAATCAAATCAATGCGACCACTCACATCACAGCTGGGTCATGTTATACACAAAAATCAAATCAATGCGACCACTCACATCACACCTGGGTCATGTTATAGAGAGGTACGTTGAAAGTGACACTTTTTTTTTTTTTTTTTTTTTTACTATTGAACACTCACTGCGTGATGAACTAAAATGAGGAGAAGAACTCGACACAATGGTACATATCCAGCAGGACGGAGTGGGTGGGACCTGTGAAGCTCAGCCGACCAAGGGTCTCGGCATCACAGCTGCACATGTGCACCAAAGGAAACAAAAACACCACCAAGGACGCTACCCAACGTGCAGCTGGAGCCTGGAATGGGCAGAGCACACTCTCTCGCCCTCACAAGGAAGTCCCAGGTCGCAGCACGGATGAAAATCAGGCTGCATCAGCTTGCTCATCAGAATCTGAGGAACTCCCATTACCTGACTTCAACCAATCACCGCCCAGACCGTTCAACCTACAACAAGATTCGCAAACACAGCTCCAGCTGCCAGCTAAGGCAATTGGTGACCTCGCACAGTCAATGTCACAAGGCCGGCTCACCAAGTCCGGCAGCGACTCTGACACGGACTCAGACGGTTTTCAAGTGCATAGCTCCAAACGCCCTCGAAGCAGTGTCACACCTGAAAGACCTTGCCGGGCCACTGCCAATGCACCCAGAAACAAGAAGAAATTGAAAAAGGGCAAACCCAGACAGTCCTAGGTGAGTGCAAGATATCCACTCATACAGAACGGAACGTGTTGTACTGTAATAATACCCTTGCACTTACACCATTTTCGCCTTCTTGCACAATATTATACTTTTGTCCTATGTCTTCTTTCGGCTCCAGCATGTTGTATTTCTTTACCTAATTTTCCTAGGAATGAGTTTTTTAACATTTAATGCTAGGAGCTTGTGCAACAAAATGGACGAGCTCATACCCACTATCACACGCATCACGCCCACACTAATTGCTGTCTGCGAAACATGGGCAAACCCCATGGAGCCAGACTCATTCTATGACATTCCAGATTACACACTCTACAGACAGGACAGAACAGAAACGATGGGTGGAGGTGTTGCTTTATACATACATGCCCCTACCTGCCACAAACGCCTAACAACAGTCGTCATGCCAAGCTTCCAGTCACTGTGGGTAGAGCTTACACTCTCAGATCGTACAGTCACCGTGGGATGCGCGTATCGACCACCAAACTCTGATCCGAATTTATTCTGCCGCGAACTTGAATTGTGTCTCGATAAATGTAACACCACAGCGCCATTCATCCTCCTCGGCGACCTAAATTCCAAGAACAGCTCTTGGTTGGATTCTGATGTCACAGACAGAGCTGGTGACGCACTTAGCTATCTTATCGATGCATATGGTTTCCATCAGCATGTAAACTTTGCCACCCACATCTGCCGAGGCTATCTAAATTCGTGCCTCGATCTAGTCATCTCCAATCTCCCTCCGGAGGAGGTCACACTTTCTTCCAGAGCACCGTTTGGGTGTTCAGATCACGTAGCAATCCAGGGAACTATCTCCATGCAGCCACCAGCAGATGAGCGTGGCAGACGTAACCTGCCACCTTGGACCTGGAACTGGAATTCAGAGAACGTTGGCGCCCTGAGAGAAGCGCTAGCGTATACTCAACTCCTGCCACCCGACATTGACTTGCCGTCATATTCGCTGACCGAACTGTGGTCGCTCTGGCGTGACACTCTGCTTCGCACCGCACACCAGTTCTGCACTCAACTCCGGTTGACTAGATCATCTGCAGTGTCTCAAAAACGCCCATGGATGACGCCTGACCTGCTAAATAATATCCGTACAAAGCACAGGTTATACAGGAAATACCTCCGGACACGGACGGCTGAAGACTGGGACCAATTCACAACTCAGCGAAACAAGACAACAACTCTTCTCCGCAGCGCCAAGTCCAAATTCGTTCATAAATCAGCCAATGCCGACAACCACTGTGACCAAACCCATACAAACCGCCCAAACCTCTACAAACTTATGAAGACCCTTCGAATTTCACCAAGAAAGGAAATGCCAGCTTTGAACCATGATGGCAGGAAGCTCACATCGAACTTAGAGCAGGCAGAAGCATTCAACAGCTTCTTCATTTCAGAAAGCAAGAAGTCCGTCTCAGTTGACAACGAGCCAGTCCCCGACATCCTTCTACCAACATCCGGCGAGAGAGAGCTTGCCCAAATCACCACCACACCCGCCGAGGTAGAACAGCTCCTAGGAGCCCTTAATCCTTGCAAAGCCCCTGGGTTTGACGACATCCCAACAAGACTCCTCAAGACCACGGCGCGTGAGCTGTCGCCGTTACTCTCCCGACTTTTCAATGAGTCATTTCGGAGAGGTGAACAACCACAGGACTGGCGTGATGCCACTGTGAGCCCACTATACAAGAAAGCCGAAAGGTCATTGGTAACAAACTACAGGCCTATATCACTTCTCAGCGTTATCAGTAAAGTGCAGGAGAGGATCGTCCACAAGCGACTCTACAAGCACGTCACACCCTTCCTCCCAGTGGATCAATCCGGTTTTCGTGCCAATGATAGCACCGAACTCCAGCTCGCCAGACTCGTGCACGAGGTTTCCGAGAGCCGAGATAAAGGTCTTTCCGTCACAGCTTGCTTTTTTGATCTCTCGAAGGCTTTCGACAGAGTCTGGCACGCCGGTCTCCTCAAGAAACTGCAACACCTCGGCCTGAAAGATACCGCCCTGCAATGGATGGTCAGCTACCTCACCCATCGCCGTCAACGTGTTCGTGTCGGCGACGCCTTCAGTGAGTGGCAAGCCATACCAGCAGGGGTGCCCCAAGGATCCGTTCTAGGCCCCCTGCTGTTCTTGATCTACACCATTGACCTGCCCTCTGCCTGCACCAACTCGAACACAAAGTGCAGCCAATTTGCAGATGACACGGCGCTCATCGCAACACACCAGAGCCGTTTGACATCGGAGTTGTCCCTGCAGTCAGCCGTTTCAGCTGCCGCAACCTGGCTGCGCAGATGGCACCTCCTCGTCAATGCCTCAAAGACCGTTACCTTGTCGTTCACACCAAACCACCAACTCAACATCACTCTTAATGGCACACACCTAAAGCAAGTCAAAGAACACCGTCACCTTGGAATCATACTACAAAACAACCTCCAATGGAACTCACATGTCACGCACATAATAAACAAATCCAAAAAACTCCTTCACCAACTTCGTAAAACACGAGGCCAACTTAACACCCCCAGCCTGCTCGTAATCTACACCGCCTACATTCGCCCGGTTATAGAGTACGGCAGTCTCGTGTTATCCAACACCACCCGCACACAGAAGGACCAATTAGAACGCGTTCAGCGACGAGCAGCCCGTATCTGCCTGCGGATCCCCCTTTTTGCACCAGTCCATCACAGCTCACTTCTTCATCATCTCCAACTCCCCACATTAGTCTCCCGGCAACTCTTACGACAGGTTACTCTTGCCCACAACATCAAGTACATCCGCGCTCCCCTTCACCTGCAACAGCCTCACCTTGCACGACCAATCACAGAGCAGCCATATGCACTACGACACATGAGAACATACACATTGAGAACATCACACACATACCGACACACCAACTCACCCATCAACCTATCCCTTCACAATTTCAACCAACTACCCCCCGACCTGCGTGAAACAAATAGCAAGCATGCGTTTAAATCAATGGCGTCTAGCCTCATTCTATCATCCATTTGCTCCTGTAGTAGCTCACACTGTACCCCATCGTGACCCCATCCCCCTGCAATGTGTTGGTTTCCTTACTTGCTAGACTGATTTTATATGATTCTGGACTGATTTGAATCATATATTATCTTCCTTATTGGCCATGGGCCATCGTGGAAATAAAGAATAATAATAATAATAAAATGGGGAGTGGAAGGGCGGGGAGGGGAGCAGGAGAGCAAGAACTCTAAGGGTAGGAAAGAGAGGAGGGGGGGGGGGGGGTAGGAAACCAAGAAACTTGTTATTCCAAGATATGAGTGCAAAAAAGTACGCAAACAAGTACAAATATAGCAGTATCAAGATCATGATGCTGAGGCGAAAGTAGAGGCTGATTGCCGTGCAGATTTGACGAAAGATTATTAGAGTTAGAATGGAGGAGAGTTAGAGAGAGATAAAGACAGATGGATTGGGAGTTTGATGAGAAGGGAGTGCTCCGAGAACATGAACAGGGTCGCACTGGCAGTAGCCTAGGGGGCGATGTCCGTGGCCAATGACCAACCCGACCGTTTCAGGTAGCGGTAGGTCTGAACCTTGAACTGCTGCATCCCTTTAGCAGACGGTGCATCGCGGAGGAGAGTGGCTGGCAGTTCATTCCAGGCCTCGATGAGGCACTCCGGGAAAGAGCGCAGCGCAACATTGCACGATCT